GAAAGCACTCAGTTGCCCACCAGAGAGCAGTACAGGAAAATGTTTCTGTTCACAGCAGGCTGACAGAGAACTGTGGTTTTCTTACTCCACATGAGGTCGCTCTAATCTGCACAAAACATTTTTAGGATTCTTAGGCCACTATAGAAGAGAGACAACGTGGATCTTTATACTGCTTCCGGTTTCTGTTTTCCAGCTCAGATATGCTTCTAAATTCTGTAGATTCTAGCTTTTGACTCCTCTGCTTCTTGGAGTCTTTGGAAAAGCCTAAACAGGAGATTAGCACTGCTGTCCTCTGTCTGTATTCCAGAGGCCTGTAATGCAGTTGCTTACTAGTATCTTAGGAATTATATCTGACTTTTTACAAAGTGCTACATCAAATCTTATTGCAATTAATCCTTAAATTTTCCAGTACCTATGAAAATTCAAGGAATTTTATTCAGGGATTTTGTCTTTCTTTTTTTTTTTTTTTTTTTTTTTTTTAAATATTAAATTTTATTTTTATATTCCCCCATACAATTGCAAATGCCCCATTCTGACCCCAATCCTTCCCCTCCCGCCCCCCACCCCCCAAAAAGTGTCTCTGGTTCATAGTTTTTTGTTGATTTTGATTTTCACTTTCTTATATTCATTTTCCTGGTCCCTTATTTAAGTTTTCTAGATTCCTGCTATGAGTGAGACCATCCGGTATTTTTCTTTTTCTTTTTGGCTTATTTCGCTGAGCATGATCCCTTCCAGTGCCATCCATGTTGCTGCAAATTGCATGTGTTTATCTTTTTTGAATGCTGAGTAATATTCCATGGTATATATGTACCACATCTTCTTGATCCAGTCATCTATTTTTGGGCATTTGGGCTGTTTCCAAAGCTTAGCTATTGTAAACAGTGCTGCTATAAACATAGGAGTGCAGGTGCTCTTTGGAATTGATGTTTCTGTGTCCTTTGGGTAAATACCTAGGAGTGGAATTGCTGGATCATATGGAAGCTCTATGTTTAGTAGGTCCAGAAATCTCCACACAGCTCTCTATAGTGGTTGGATCAGTTTGCACTCCCACCAACAGTGCACAAGAGTTCCTTTTTCTCCACATCCTCGCCAACATTTGTTGTTGCTAGTTTTTTTAATATGTGCCATTCTCACTGGTGTGAGATGGTATCTCATGGTAGTTTTGATTTGCATTTCCCTGATTACAAGTGATGTTGAACATTTTTTCATATGTCTGTTGGCCATTTGCATTTCCTCTTCAGAGAAGTTTCTTTTTAGCTCTTCTGCCCATTTTTTGACTGGATTATTTTCTTTGTTGTTGCTGAGTCTCATCAGCTCTTTGCAGATTTTTGTGATCAGTCCTTTATCATTAGTGTTGGGTGCAAAAATGTTCTCCCAGTTGGTGGGGTTTCTCTTTGTTTTTGTTATTGTCTCTTTTGCTGTGCAGAAGCTCTTTAATTTGATGTAGTCCCAGCTGTTTATCTTTCTCTTCACTATCACTGCTTTGGGTGATGTGTCTATAAAGATGTCTTTGATGTGCAAATCCCGTAGTGTTTCGCCTATATTTCCTTCTATGTATTTTATGGTTTCAGGTCTTATGTCTAGTTCTTTAATCCATTTTGAGTTGATTTTTGTGTATGGTGTGAGGTAGTGGTCAAGCTTCATTCTTTTGCATGTAGCGACCCAGTTTTCCCAGCACCATTTATTGAACAAACTTTCTTTGCTCCAATGCATAGTCTTTGCTCCTTTGTCAAAGATTAGTTGACCATAAATCTGTGGGTTTATTTCTGGATTTTCTATTCGATTCCATTGGTCTGTATGTCTGTTCTTGTTCCAATACCTTCCTATACACAAACAATAAATCTGAAGAAGAAGAAATCAAAAAAACCACCCCTTTTATTATCGAAACAAAAAAAATCAAATATTTGGGAATAAATCTAACAAAAGAGGTAAAGGACCTATACAAAGAAAACTATAAAACACTGTTAAAAGAAATAGAAGAAGACACAAAGAAATGGAAAGACATCCCCTGCTCATGGATTGGAAGAATAAACATTATTAAAATGGCCATCCTACCAAAAGCAATATACAGATTCAATGCTATTCCAATCAAAATCTCAATGGCATTCTTCAAAGAAATAGAACAATTATTGATGAAATTCATATGGAATCACCAAAAACCCCGAATAGCCAAAGCTCTACTGAAAAAAAAAGAAGGAAATGGAGGCATCGCACTCCCAGACTTCAAACTATACTACAAAGCCATAATCATCAAAACTGCATGGTATTGGATTTTGTCTTTCTTAAAGAAGTGGTGTGCCTTTTTGCGTGGGTGACTTAAAAGGGTCATCTTTTTGTGTGCTTAACCAAAATAAATGGGTTAGTGTAAATTTTGGACAGAGAAAAAAGGGATATCCCAGATAGAACAGGTAGGTAAAAGGGATCAGTTTGATAGTGGTAATGGTTCTTGAACTTGGGTATTGAGTGCAGTATGTGCGCAAACATTTATACAAGTGTAATACTGCTGTCTTATATAATATTGTATGCTGATAGCAGACCAAACCAAACCAAAAGCAACATAAAGATGGGTTAGTGTAAAGGTTGTAGAAAGTTACCTGGCAAATCAAATCATTCTGTGGCACTTGCTTCTTTTTTCACCTAACATGTATCCCATGCCTGTAGAACTAGATTGCTATTAGACTAGGGAATTAAAAGCCACAGAGGTTATAGAGTTAGCTCCTATATGCTGAAGGTGCTTATAATTAGATGAAGGGGGCACACATGCCCCAAGGCCGTTGGAAGTAAGTCCTGAATTTAGATTTAAATAAAAGTTCTTAGGGAATGGAGCTGTGGCAGAGACTGGTGATAAGAGAGGATTATTTGTAGGTGGATATGGTGGCTATCATTTGTTCTATCTTGGTTTAGTATAAAGCTACTCCTGTTTAGAGATCCTTCAAGACCAAGCTTAGCATCAGGACAATACCTGTTTCTTTGGGGAGCTTGCTCTGACCCTTCACCAAGTGAACTCAGTGACCTTCTGTGTTGTCATTGCATCCAGTTCATGCAGCATGCCATTCATGGTCTTTACATTGTATGCGCCTCTCTCCTAAGGACAAAAATTGATTGCTAATAGACAGTGCATTCTCTCTTCTAGTTCCATTCTGGTCCCTGACATGTTTTCCTTTCTCCGTGGTACTTACTCTCTTTTTCCCTCTGTTCCCCTCCACCCTTTGTCTTTTTTTCTCAAATGCAATGGCATAGACTTGCTGATGTCTTTAAAAGTAAAGAAGAGAAAAGGAACTGCCCCTCATTGAGTACCCTCTTTGTGTTGAACACAACGCAGGTATTTTAGGTGTTTTATGAGCTTTTTCTCATTTAATCTGGTTCTTGCAAAGACACTAAGTTATTTCTCCTCTTCAGGTCTTAATACTTGTTATTTCCTCTCTTAGGAATTTTTCCTCAAATCCTTAAGAAGGTAGCTACCTTTTCTGCTAATAAACATGTATAGTTTACAAACCATTCCTCCAAAGATAATTTTCTTAGGTCAGTTACTCTAGTCTCCACTCCATGCTATAGGGTCTCAGTGAATGAATTAGTTGAGGCCAAGTCTACAATCTTTGGCCTTTTTCTCTCTCTGTCCCTGCCCCACCATCCCCCAGTGCTTCAAGTTCTAGTTACTGAATGCCTAGTTTACCAGTTTTTAATATAATTTTATTTCTACCTCATTATAACTGGTAGTACCATCCAGACTGTACCTCTGCTATGAGGTGAGGGGTTCAGTGTTTGGTTAGTTTTCCCCTGGAGAATGGGCTAACCCGTCATCTTTTAACATAGTTTTATTATTTGTAAACTGAAAGTCTAGATCAGGCTGTTATAAATAGGTATATACTTATAAAAAATGCATCTACTCTTACACATTTAGTATTAAAGCAATGTAACCAAGTGCTCATATTCTGATATAAGTAAAATCTTCTTTAGAAACTCTTACCCATCCTTTAAAGCTCAATTGAAGTCCTGACTCTACCATTTTCTGCATCTAGAGTAATCACATTAATTTCTTATGCTTGAAATTCCTATGGTCTACACTTTTTAGTTTGGCCTTTAATCTCAAGAATCTTATTTGTTATTTAATTGCTTTATGTACCTATATGTTATCTAACTAATGAAATGGTGAGATGCCATTTGATTGTGGTAATATCTTCTTAATTTTTGCAAGATTGAAAAAGTGCCACTTTTTAAATAATATTTTGAATAAAATATCTTTCAAACTTTATTTTTGCTACTGGAGTTTTATTTTTTTAATGCAATTTAAAATAATCTTGTTTAGGTTTTCTTAAAAACATTTCTTTAAACATAAGATAGTTATTTTTCTACAGTTTTATTATTCATTTTATTCTCAGTATTCATTTAAGAAGGCTAATGTGTTCAGGTATAAGACTGAAAGGAACTGTTTCAGAAAAGAAAGAATATTAATTATTTCCTGTAGCTTATCTATAAAAAGCCATTTGGGAAAGTACACTCATTTTAATCTTTCATTGGACTTCAGGGTGGATTTTTGTAGTTGCTATAATAAAGTCATTTTCAGTCTTCTAGAAAACTTGTAAAGATTTATTTGATAAAATATCAATATTTTAATAACTATGATTGTCTAAGCATTCCTAATTATATGTTGAGCTTTCTAATTCTTACCAGAGCTGCTTCTTCCTGGCAAATTTAAACATCAGTCTCCAATCAGTTAGGTTAATCTCTATATAATGTAATTAAATTCATCTGACCTGGTTACTGGGTACATTTCAGATATCAGACTGATGCTTATCGTGACACCACTGAGAATATTTCAATTTCAATAAAATTGACCTTTTGAAACCAGCTTTTCTTTAATCTGCCATAACACTTAACAGAAATACTTCTTTTAAAAAGTAACCTGACGTATTAATGTATTTAATGTCAAAAACTAAGGGGTTATAAATCTGTGTAAGGTAAATGTCTTAGGAGAACTGACAGCATCTTTTTATTTGTAGAGATACTTCCTAGTGGGGAGCAATCATGCAGAAACAAAATATCGTGTTTTGAAAATTGATAGAACAGAACCGAAAGATTTGGTCATAATTGATGATAGGGTAAGTATCTTGCAAACATGACTACATATATTTTTGTACTGCTGTTTAAAGATATAAAATATCCTTATGACTAATAGTGATAGATAATTTTTTATAAGCATCTAAAAGTTACAATTATTTTTCATGGTTGGTAAAATTGGACCTTAAATCTGGTTTCTAGAAATTACTGCTGTCAAGAAGTATGGCAGAATTACACTTTGTTCCTCTTTTTGATTTGCTTTAAAGAGCAAATTCTGAATAAGATAATGAATATATTTTCTCAAAGGGTTAACATTTTAAGGATTCAGTGTAACACTTAATGTTACATCTACCAAAGAGATTTATTTACTACTATGCTTTAATGTGAAGTTACTTGAAATCAGAGAGGACTTTGCTACTGCAGATGTTATGTTATGTTATTATGCTGCTAAAAATCTTCTGATGACTTGCTATGCACTAGAGAAGTGTTAAGCTGTTCTTATCCAGATTTTATATTATCCAGAATCAGGAAACCAGAGACTTAAGACAGGTGGCGCAAACAATATAATGGTGTTATTGAAAAGTTAATTTTTACTTATATAAGAGAACCCAGAAGTTCCTGCCTGTGACTACTTTGGAGTGTATGTATATTCTTGATATCTCAAATATATCAGCAGCTATAGTTTAGAACCCATTTCTATTAATTTCTTTGCAAAACTATTTTCTACGTATAGGTATTTTAGGTAGACTGTATATTGTGATTTCCTTTACTTTCCCCAATAAGCTGGGGGATTTTACTAATATAATGTAATGATTATTGGCTTTATTTGAATGTAGGAATGTTTGATTAGGGATCCTTTTGCGAATCTTAGAAGCCCTGGGCTTTCTCATAAAAACACACATATATTTATACCATCAGAACTTCACATACTGATTTAAGGAGTTTACAGATTTTTTTGAAATTTCTTAAATCTCTGAATCTCTGGTTCAGAAGATAAGGTTTTGACATAGTTTTTTAGTAAAGCAACATGTGATCCAGTAACCACTCTTAACTTTGAAAAGTGTTAGCTTTTAAAGTTTGTGGCTTAGCCAAGCACTATTACATACTTCTCTCTGAAATAGTTAATGATTCTTGTAGGTGACTTTAAATATTCAGGGGTAAAAGATAATCTAAAGAGTAAGCACAACCTTATAGTTTCAATTTACTTATTTTTAGCATGTATATACTCAACAAGAAGTGAGGGAACTTCTTGGCCGCTTGGATTTAGGAAATAGAACAAAGATGGGACAGAAAGGATCCTCCGGATTGTTTCGAGCTGTTTCAGCTTTTGGTGTTGTAGGTAAGAAAACTGCCTCCCTCTTACTACTTAACAATAGCTTACAAGGACTTATAGCTTTAGATTTATGACCCACTCACTCTATGTGGCTTGGATTGTTTTAAACTGCATTATCCATCAGTCAGGTATCAACAGCCCTTACACAGCACCTGCCTGTGTTCAGCACTGTGCTCAGTTTTATGTAAGATACAGACAAATGTGGAAATAGTTTTAGCCTTTAAGGAACCTGTTTGGTTTGTTGAGAAAGGAAAAATTAAATGTTGTCTTGTACTGTAAACATTTGCCGTGCCATGTGGGAAAACAGGTAAAACCAGCTTTAAAAGTGACAGGAGGGCCTCCCAGGTGGCGCAGCGGTTGAGCGCTGGGTTGCCAAGCTGCCCGCAGCCTCTGCAGTGCCGGTTCAATCCCCAGCTGCTCCTCGGCCACTGGAGGAGGGTCCCACATGGTGCGGAGACCTCTCCTGCCGCCCGCTGCTCCCCTCAGCAGTGTACTTCAGTCCTTCTGCCTGCTCTGCTCCCCGCTCTGGCTCTGGTGAATTCTCTCACCCTCCCGTGCTTCTGACTGTACCCAGTGCTTGTATAGATAAATAAATAAATCTTTAATAAATAAATAAATAAATAAAAGTGACAGGAATTTCTCCTAAGGACATGATGCATCTGTAAAGTGCCACAGCCCCTTTCTTTAAATGGCTGTTTCTTGCTCACTGAGAAGCTTTATTCTCTAGAATCAAAGTCTTTTAGAGACTGCTGTTGGAAATTGTATCAATAAGAAAAACATTCCCCTCTTGCCTGGAAGATCTAAGTCACTTTGACCTAGAGAAGCAGCCTTAATTTACAACTCAGAAGCAGGGCCTCAGCTAAGGATTTCTGTGTATAACCATCTGCTTCTGTGCTCACTTTATTGTTTTCTAGGAAATGAGGCCCCTGAGTCTCTTTCACAAGCCAGACTTGATGTTTATCTCTTGGTCCTGCTTTGGTTTGAGCCTCTTCATCTAAATTTTACCTAAATCCCACCCTTCCCCCAAAATCCTGAAATAACTCCTTTATTTAGTCACAAACAAAAATAGAATGGTTTCACTTATAAGGCTGTCTGGCTGGTGGGGCATTTGTGAGATCTGTTTCCCCATTGCAGTAGGTCAGCAATGTCTTTCCTGTACTGTGGATTTCTCCCTGGTGGTCTTAAGTTGATTGGACAAGGATGGGGGACAGAAACCAATATACATGAAACAACTTAAAAATTATAAGTAAGCCAAGCTGTGTAGTAAAAGTGAAATGACATTGGAAATTACCTAAGAGGTAGATTGCTTGACCCTGGAATGTCTAGGAAAGAGTTCCTGGTCAAGATGAGGCTCTCACTGTACCTTGTAAGAACAAAATTTGGATAGATGGAGGGAAGAGATGAGAGAGCTGCAGGAGGGGTGACAGCGGAGGTATCAGCATGAAGATGCCTCGGGATGCTTAACTGTTAGTGAGTGGTAGGGTGAGGCCAGATCCCTCAAGGCCTTGGATGCAAGCATAGGGCAGTTCATCTCAGTAGAGCCTTATTTTGAATCTATTTTTAAAAGTCACTATTGAATCTATTTTTAAAATTATCTCTTTGCTCCTTAAACCTACTGGATATATGCACTTTTGGCAGAGTGATTGGTATCTACAGATGTTAACTAAATGAATATAGACTTTACTAATTTCAAATTCTTGCTAGGTTTTCTGATAGTACTTTCTATTTTGTGCCTATTTTTGTTGAAACTCTGATTCTGTTCTCCCTTATTTGATGTTTTTCTCACTGTACTTCATAACTCTTCATATGTAAATCCCTTCAGGTCTTTTTGAGTCTTAGGTGGCTGCCAGGGATTGTCAGGAGTGGTAGGTACGTTTAGATTTTCCTTAAGACAGGTCCCTTTTCTATACTTTTTACCTAGTCTTGACAAGTTCCTTGAAGTTACATGGTTAATGGATAAGCGCTTGTGGACATGTGCACCTCTTTGTATGTCTTTTTCGTTCATGTGTTTCAATTCCATACATTCCATCAATGCTAAATTCCATTTTAAGTGTTGCTTACATTTGAAATTAAGTAAAAACCATGGAAATAAAATGGGTCTGAAATATAGCAGGTTAAATTTAAGTATGTTACTTAATAGAGTAAATATATTCCTTTAAGTGCTTATACTTTGTGTACCTATTTTTTAATGGAATTTTCCTAAGATGTATGTAAAACCGAGTGCCTCATTAGCCAGGGTTTATTATTCAAAATTAAACCTTCCTTGATGATTAAGTCTAATGACGTGAAGATCAGTTTTTGAGCTGTGTTTAAAAATAGCTGCCCTTGGATATTCTGAAGTTGCATAGGACAGTTTACCTTTATATTAAATTATCCTCAAAACCACTGTTTTGTTTTCATGGTAATTTATTCTTTGTTGTTCCAGGCATGTTTGCTTTTAGCAATATTTCTCACCTCATTTTAAGTTTATTGATAAGTTAGCTGTAAAACCAGAAGTTTTATTTTAATGAATTGGTAACCAAGTTTATAATAAGGTGTTTAATTTATACACAAGTACTAGTTAATAAACTCTGAGTAAGGACTGAAAGGTGACATTCTTAGGTATTGTGATAGATATTTCTTTAGCAATTTGAGGTCTTTTATGCTTGACACTTCTTGGATAGTGAAGTTATAAAAGACTAACCTGTCAGTAAAGTGACACAATAATGCACTAAATAATCATTTATTATTTTTATGGAAATGCATTTTATGTATTCTAACTCAGCCATGTAAATAAGCCTTAGAATAGCGGAGAGTGCACAGGGAGTTAATGAAAGTCTGTGATTGTCTAGAAATAATGAGGGATACTGAAATAGCAACATACAAAATATTTCTTTTTGAAAACTGCACAACCTAGTTGTCAAAACAATTCTTACGTGGAACAACTAGAATGGTTGTCTTTTTTTCCTTGGCTGTAATATTTTCTCTACTAACCTATCCAGCATGCTTAATTTATGAATAGTATTTTTGCTGGAATGTTTTGAACTATCATCATAGTTAATTTAGTTCACAAGTGGTAAGAATCTAGAGCAGTATTTCTTGACTGTAGTAAAGGACCAAACTTTTTTCCCCACCAGTATGTCCCTGGGCAACACATGATCCTTCTGAGAATAACTTGTTTGCACGTAGTGTGTCTGTATCACACAAGTTCAGTAATAACCAAACTAATTTTACCCTGTACATTGGTCATGCCCAGGGGTATTGTGGCAACCTCAATTTGCTTTCAAATTTATAAACCCACACTCTTAATTTGTTTACTTGTCTTTCATGGGGTACCAAAACTATCACTGGTTCACAGACATGAATTGACCTAGTCATTTAGCTAGCTACCTTGCCCACTTCTGACCCACTCCATTGTTATTTGATGGCGAGCAAGAGGTTTAGGAAACCACTAGATGGGATCAGGAACATACTTCACAAAGTTGTTTTATCTGGTCCTAGGCACCTGTGTGGAGCTGGTGGCCAGTGGTCTGCAGTCCTTACTACTATCAGCAGTGTGACTGTCCCAGACCCTACTGGTACATACTTGTTCCCCTATGTCTTTTTTTCTACCTTTTAAGCTTTGGTTCTTTGGAGGACAAGGGTAGAATAAGAAGTGTCACTGTAGTAGACTAAGTAGAGGACTCCGTTGTTATTTAAAATAACACCCTTAGAAATAATTGCAGACCCACGATATTGAAAACAACAGTGACAAAGAGTGACTCTCAGATGAGTAAGGGAGAAGTAGATTTGTTGTTAGTAAGTCAGTTTGGTTACAGAAGACTCTGTTATGCATAGGCTATTTGTACCTTGTGGAGCTTTTTCATCCTTCTCTGGCAGAATGCTGTTCTCTCTGAAGGCTTTTAAGATAATGACTATCTCGGTGACCCCTACACAAGGCATTATATTCTTCCCTGTTTGTGGACTGTTGGGCTTCTCTCCAGCCTCCAGACTCTACGCCATTCCATCCTCTCATACTGTCCTTTTAAATATATTTTGCTTGATATCTGGCCTCAAATGACACAATCTTCTCAGATTGAAGAGGAAGAAACACTTTTGCACAATAAGTGTCCTCTAGGCTTCTGGGAAGCACTTAGTAAAATTGGTCTAGGATCAGAAGTACATAGAATGAAGATGAAAAAACTTATTATTCTGGTTTTCTCTGTGTTAAAGTGATAACTAGGTTTACTCTTGACAGATGTCTTTGCCAAATTAAAGCCTTTTAAATGTTGACTGTATTTGATAGGAACCTTTTTAAAAAAGAGAGTGATGTTTCCAATTGGTAGTAAAAAGGAAGAAGAAAATCATCTCATTTATAATATGCCAAAGGCATCTGTGCTGGTAGAAAAGAATCTCCATTGTGCAATATATTTACTTTCCTTTATTTAAACTAGAAGGGAAAGATAGAATGATGTAAATAATTTTAGATCTAAAAACATAAAATTCAGTTGGAATGCAAGTTGAGAGAAATTATCACTTTTTTGTATAAATATATATAGCAAGAATAAAAGGGGAATTCATTTATCTTGGATGTAATTATCATTTAGACCCAATTAGACTTTCTTTGAGTATCTTTTTGTTACTTGAAAGATCCCTACTTTTTTTTTAAGATCTATTTTTATTTAGCTATGCAAGCAAGAACTGGGTGTAGGTCAGAGGTATGGAGGTGAGAGGATTCACCAGAGACAGAGCGGGGAGGAGAAGGGATGGATCTACTGAAGTACACTGCTGAGGGGAACAGAAGGCAAGACAGCAGAGGTCTGCTGCGTCATGTGGGTAGCTCCCTGGCCGGGGATCAAACTCATGCTGCAGTGCTGGATATAGCGTCATAGTGCTGAGAGTTTTATCCCTGTGCCACCAGGGAGGTCCCTAGAGCTCTGCTTTTCTAAGTTTTTTCTTTCTGAAGGAATGAGTACTACCTAACATGATTTTGATGACATTGTCATCAGATTTTTCCTTTTCATTTTTATGAACATTAGCATTATTCAAGGAATTTTTGGCTAGAGGAGAAAAGGGGCATAAATGAGCATTTAAAAAAAAACATTTCTGCATTGCAGAATTCTAAAATATTTTTTATTGTTTTAATAGCACTTTTTCATAGTAGCATGACTCATAAAATCCTTGAGGCATCTTTTATGTAGTTCAGCTCATTTATGTTAATATAGTCAATTAGTAGTTTCCTTTTATGTCAGCCGAGAATAATAAGACACTGGAAATAGGTATTTGTCAAATTTGGAAAAATTCATAGTCTCAGGATCCTAGCTTGACTTTCTAGAATGTAATACTCTAAGAGGACAAGGAAATGAAAAAGGAAAAAGAGAATGGGGTGGGAAAGAGAAAGGCACATACATGTACACACAAGAAAGTTAGTTTTAAAAGGTAGTTACACTAGACATAAGATTCTTGTGCACATTAGCATTGTACTGCCAGTTTACCTCCCCAGCTTAAAGGTATGTTTGTATACTCAGCTCCAATAACAAGGGAAAAAGAAGGAAAAATAAGCAAATGGGACCACATCACACTTGAAAGCTTCTGCACAGCAAAAAAAAAAAACTTGCATCAAAATGAAAAGACATCCTACTAAATGGGAGACAATATTTGCACATCTTATATATGATAAAGGGTTAGTATCTAATTTATACAAAGAACTCACAAAACTCAACAAGAAAAAAAATCAACCCAATTAAAAAATGGGCAGATGATCTGAATAGAGTCTTCTCCAAAAATGACATACTGTTGACCAGTAGGTACATGAACAGATGTTGACCATTCCTTGTTATTAGGGAAATGCAAATATTACACTTCTGAGAATGAATATATAAATGGCAAGAAACAGTGTTAGAGAGGATGTAGAGATAAGGGAATCCTTATGTACAGTTGGTATGAATGTAAATTGGTAGAACCATATGGATATTTCTCAAAAAAATAAAAATAGAAATTCCTTATAATCCAGTTGTCCCACTTCTGGGAATTTATGCAAATAATACAAAAAGACTAATTTGAAGAGATGTATGCACCTCCATGTTTATTTCAGCGTTATTTGCAATAGCCAAGTGCTGAAACAACCTAAGTGCTCACTGACAGATGATACAGAAGACATCTATATATATACACATAGACACACACAATGGAATTCTACTCAGCTATGAAAAAGGATGAAATCCTACCATTTGGAACAACATGGATGAACCTAGAGAGCATTATGCTTAGGGAAATATGCCAGATAGAGAAAGACTTTGTGTTTCACTCATGTGTGGTATATAGAGAAAACAAACAGATGAACTAAATAAAACAAGAATAAACTTTTGGGCTATAATACCATTTAGTGGTTATCAGAAGGATAAGGTAGAGGGGAGTCAGTAAATTGGGACAATGATGTGGTGAATGATAGCGTCAGACATTTAGTGGTGAATTTAATATAGAAAATACACACAACACATAATGTAATGTTACTTCAATTAAAAAGAAGTCTTTTGTCTTTTAAATATATATCTAAAAGCACTGCTAAGTTTAGGAAATGTTAATTTATCTTTCCTTTTTGTTGTGTAGGTTTTGTCAGGTTTTTAGAAGGCTATTATATTGTGTTAATAACTAAAAGGAGGAAGATGGCGGATATTGGAGGTCATGCAATATATAAGATTGAAGATACAAATATGATCTATATACCTAATGATTCTGTACGGATTACTCATCCCGATGAAGCCAGGTGTGTACTGTTGGTAACTACTATTTTTTTTCTTTACTGTGGAACACCAATTAGACAACAAAGTGTAGTCAAAAGATTATCGATGTTATGTTAAAAATGTAAAATACTGGCTCCGAATTCTACAACTTTGTTCTAAGACTGTTAAAAAAAACTCCATTATAACAATTGACTCAGGCATGTATCAATAATGACTGCTAAAACCAATGGGGAGAGATTATTAGTGAAGAATAGATTCATAAAACTATATAAACTTTGGGTATACATCTACACCTCTGTGTGTATAAACCTCACCCCATCACCACCAACATTCTAGTGGCCTTCCACTGTCCAATAGATGCTCCTTACTTTTTCTTCCCACCTCTTCACCCCTCCCTTTCTGATAACATCTGTATTTTTCACAGAATCTAAGACTGTTTTTTGTTGTGATTTGTTAGTTTGTTTGCTTTGGTTATTTATAGCCCACTTATAAGAGGAACCAGCCGGTAATTGTTTTTCACTTTATGATTTATTTCACTTAGCATAATCACCTCAAGTTCTATTCATGTTGTCATAAAAGACATCTTTTTTAATAGCTGAATAATATTCCACTGAGTACATATACCACAACTTCTTTATACACTCATCAGTTAGTGGATATTTAGGTGTCCACTGTTTCCATGTCTTCGGTATTGTAAATAATGCTATTGTGAACATAGGATACATAAATCTTTTTGAATTAGTGTTTTTATATTCTTTGGATAAAAACTTAGGAGAGGTATTGTTGGGTGATGTCGTGTTTTAAGTTTTTGATTTTTAAGATATCTCCACATGATTTTCCATAGGGGCTGCACCAGTTTACATTTCTGCCAACAATGAACAAGATTTCCTTTTACCTACATCCTTGCCAATATGTGCTGTTTCTTTTTGATACAAGCCATTCTCACAAATGTGAAATGAGACCTCTTTATGGTTTTGATTTGCATTTCCTTAGTAATAAGTGAAGCTGAGCATTTCTTTATGTGCCCGTTAGCCATCTGTATATTTATCTTCTTTGGAGAAGTGTCTGTTCAAATTCTCTTCTCATTTTTTGATTAGATTGTTTGTTTTTTGTTGAGTTGTAAGAGTTATATATTTTGAATATTAAGCCCTTGTGGTTGTATAATGTGCAATAATCTTCTCACAGTCAATAGATTTTCCTTCTTGTTTTTGTGATGGTTTCTTGCACATATTATACAAACCCTTTTTAGTTTGATACAGTTCTGTTTATTTACTTTTACCTTAATTTTCCTTGCCCATTGAAGTTGAGTCTAAAGATGTGTCTGAGGTTCACATCTAGGAGTATGTCATCTGTGTTGTCTTCTAGCTACATGCATATTTTTTGGATTAAAAAACTTTCCAACTTAAAAAAGTATGGTGATCCACAAAAATATTTGCTTGTTTTTACTATTCTCTCTCCAACCTCAAAATATTTTCGAGCATATTGTAAAAATAAGGATAGTATTTACTTCTATTTTGTCCCAAACCTAAGCACCTCATACATGTGAGCGCATGATTTTCTCTTCTGGCATAATCAGTGATGAGGAAATAATCACATTTTATTGAGTTAAGAGTCCCTGAAGGGGGCCTCCCTGGTGGTGCAAGGGGTTAAGATGGAACCTATGAAGCAATCCGCAGCCTCTGTAGCACGAGTTCGATTCTCAGGCCAGGGAGCTACCCACAAGGTGCAGCAGACCTCTCCTGACTCGCCGGCTACTCCCCTCAGAAGTGTACTTCAGGGCCTCCCTGGTGGCGCAGCAGTTGAGCGCTGGGTTGCGAAGCTGCCCGCAGCCTCTGCAGCAACAGTTTGATCCCCGGCTGCTCCTCGGCCACCAGAGGAGGGTCCCACATGGCGCGCAGACCTTTCCCGCCACCCGCTGCTCCCCTCAGCAGTGTACTTCGGTCCTTCTGCCTGCTCTGCTCCCCGCTCTGGCTCTGGTGAATTCTCTCACCCTCCCGTACTTCTGACTGTACCCAGTGTTGTATAAATAAATAAATAAATAAATAAATAAATCTTTAAAAAAAAAGAAGTGTATTTCATTCAATCTACTTGTTCTGCTCCCTACTCTGTCTCTGGTGAATCCTTTCACCCCTCAAACCTATTCCCTTGTACCCCAGCTCTTGTATACATAAGTAAATAAATCTTTAAAAAAAAAAAAGAGTCCCTAAAGGGTTGATCGGCCCACTTAGAAATTGTTTTTTTTTTCCCATTTAAATTTTATTGTTATATTCCCCATACAATTACAACCTCCTTATTTTGACTCCAAGCCCTCCTTTCCCCACCCCCCATCCCCCATTGAGTGTCTCTGGTTCATAGATGTTTGTTGATTTTGATATTTTCTTTCTTATAATTATTCTTTTAGATGAAATCCCTACCCTAGTTGCAGACTGAATTTCACACTTTAAATGATTGTATTTGCAGATATAAATGTATATAGGAGTATGTTAACTATAAATTTTTTATGTTGTATAATATGTTTTGTTTTTTTAAAGGTATCTACGGATATTTCAAAATGTGGACCTATCCAGTAATTTTTATTTTAGGTAAGTTTGAGCTTTGTTTTGCTCCTATCAGTCATTTAAATATTTGCATTATTTCCCAGGGAGTAAAAGCAGAATCAGGGCACATAGCAATATTTCATCTATTCTTTTTTTTAAAGGGCCCAAATTTTCATCTAAAAATATAAAAAGTACAGGTATTTCCTCTTTTTCAAAATCTGAAATTTGAGAATTTGAATTGGTAGATTAAAGGATAGTAGTTCTCAACTATAAAAATCATGTGTGTTTTAGATTTAAAGATCTAAAGAAAATTCTTTAAAGATTTAAAGAAATATTCTTATTTTGTGATTTCAAATTACAAAAATGAAATTTCCATCTACTCTCCAATGCAGAGTTGTAACAATTTTACAGTTCAATTTTTAGTTAACAATCTTGTAAAAATAAAGTATTAGTTTTCCTGGAGAGGAGTGTCTAATGTTAAATATGGATGAAAATATATTCTAAGAAAATAAATCAGGAGAGGAAATATGAATCCCTATTGATAATGAGATACTTATAGCTTTTTATTTTATGGCAGCTTATGTAAAGAAACCAATCAACCAATATCAATAATTGAATAAGAGGCAGGTGAATTAGAACATTACAAGTAAAATATTACACCATCATTGATGTTATCATCATGTAAACCTAGAAGACATAATTATTGTTCTAAATGAAAAATTCTATCAGTTGTAATGTCCAAACTACAAAATAAAACACAAAATAGCATGCATCAGTAAGGACGTAACTAATAAAGACCAAAGGAGGATATAGAGAGTATCTGTAGCTATTGGTGTTATATGTTGATGAGTTACATTACATTATTTAAATTTTTTTCCAGTTTCATTTAGAAATAATTGACATATATCACTGTGTAAGTTTAAGGCAAATAGCATGATGATTTGACTTACATATATTGTGAAGTGATTGCCATGGCATGTTCTGCTAACATCAGCCCTCTCATATATATATATATAACATAAAGGAAAGAAAGAAGGAAAAGTAAAATTTCTCCTTGTGATGACAACTCTAAGGATTTTCTCTTTACAACTTTCCTATATATCATACAGCACTATTAGTTATAGTCATCATGTTGTACATCACATCCCTATTGCTTATTTATCTTATAACTGGAAACTTTGCCTTGTGACTATCTCTCTCCAACCCCTCTTCCCTCCATGCCCTGACTTGGTAAGTACAAGTCCCATCTCTTTTCTATGAATTTGGTTTGTTTAAGATTGTACCTCTAAGTGAGATCATCTAGTACTGTTTTTCTCTGTCTGTCTTATTGCATTTGGCATAATCCCTTCAAGGTACATCCACATTGTTCCAAATGGTGTAATTTCTTATTGCATTGCATGTATATATCTTTGTCCACTCATCCACCAGTAAACACTTCGGTTGTAGCCCTTCCTTGACTGTTGTGAATAATGCTGCTGTGAAAGTGGGGGTGCAGATATATTTTCAAAGTTAGTGTTTTTGCTTCTTTTGGTTATATTTTGAGAAAGAATATGCATTTTAAACATTTAAAAATTGTTAGTATAATCACCCATTTATAGTTCTATGCAATAAAGAAAACATCATGAAGGGTGAATTATGTCTTCATTAATGTAACACTGAAAGAAGTTAATTATTTTAATAGCATTTTTATCTCTGTGAGAGTAGGTGCTGGTAAAATTAGTGGCTCTATCAAGCAAATATGGCAAAACTCAATTTCTCAAGTAAAACAAATCAATTTCAAATTATATAAATAAGAAGAAAAAGTAATGAAAATAATGTGTGTCAAACTCCAGACAGAATTATAACCATCTTAAAACATTACCAAAATGCAAATTTGTGTAAACCTAAAGAATTTTATGTACCTTCTGAAATTCTGTGTTAAAGGTAGATAGCTAAAGTTGCTTATAAAAATTATTATGTGAAATCAGAATGGTGAAGGGTTTCTTTTGCCCAGACTGCTGCAGTATTTTGGATGGCTGTTTCTCTTCCATGTTTCACTATAATGGCATGTTACTTGCTCTTTCCTGTTTTTTGTTTTTTGTTGTTTTTTGTTTTTTTTGTGGGACCCTCACTGGCGGCCAGGGAACGAGCCGGCGCTGCAGAGACTGCAGGCAGCCTAGCAGCCCGGCACTCAACCGCTGCGCCACCAGGGGAGGCCCGCTCTTTTCTGTTTTGCTGTAAAGTTATAGTACTGCCATAAGTACATTAATATATAGAATTATTTCTGTTCATCCTCATAGGTAAACTAGAGTAGAGATCATGCACCATTGCACTGGATACCATAACATCCATACAACTCCTTTCAAATACGTTGAGAATGTGACTCCTTTGAATAAGATCATGAAGTTAGATTGAATTCATTGTGAAGCAAAAAATGTACATTGCAAATCAATGAATATAGGTTACTCACATTGTGTTATGTATTTCTAGTCATACAAGTACCTAAATCATGAAATGGTTTTTTAAATTTCCAGTTATATTCATAGTCTACCGTGCTAATTGGAACAGTGCTGTTTCTAAGTAAAGCAACAGGTACTAAATAATTTAGTTAACGGGTTTTAATTCCATATGGGATCCAGTCACGGGAAATAGGTTTTGCTTTTGTAATTCTTAATAAGTTTCATTTATGTTCTCAGTTACAGCTATGATTTGTCCCATTCACTTCAATATAATCTCACGGTCTTGCGAATGCCCCTGGAAATGTTGAAGTCAGAAATGACACAGACTCGCCAGGAAACTTTTGACATCTTTGAAGATGAAGGATTAATTACACAAGGTGGCAGCGGTAGGTGATTTTCAACACAACTAATGTATGTTGATGTAGCATCCATGAAATGACATCTCATTTAATTCCTTACATTTCACTATCCCTCATTGCTCTTTGCCTTTATGTGAGGTTTTTCCAGATATATGAATTTGATCAATTCATTTTTATGGGGATTGTTAATCACCAAGTGATTTCAGTTGTGGATCAGCCAGAAAATTGTATGCTGGATTTTTGGGGAGACATTTGTTTGGAATATGTACAGAATTTTAACCAGACATGTAATTTAGGACTAGACTAGACTTTTGGTGCACTTTAAAGTGGTCCTCATAGTTGCTGCTCTGTGCTGTTTCTTGGTTTTATTCATGTATTTTCAGTCATGTCCTTAATTTTCCAGTAACTTCTTTTCTCTTAGGTTAAAAATTGTTGCACATCAGAAAATGTAATTATTCCTTGACTTTGTACAGAATCTGCACAGTGTGCTGGGTGATATTAATCATATCCACTGAAAATGGCAATGCTATTTATGAGACATTTTATTTTGAAGTTAAAAACAGAAGTTTAAAATCTTGAAAATGAGTTGAACGTCAGCCATTTTATTTATCTTTCTGATATCAACTTTTGTTTTCCAGGTGTATTTGGGATCTGTAGTGAGCCTTATATGAAGTATGTGTGGAATGGTGAACTTCTGGATATAATTAAAAAAAATGTGCATCGTGACTGGCTGTTGTATATTATTCATGGGTTCTGTGGGCAGTCAAGTATCCTTTTAAAAAAAATTAAAGAACATGTTATTTAGCTTATGTTTGTAACAATTTGGAGGAAGCTATATACAAACAGAAAAACTTACCCATGATACCAGGTAGTGATTACAAAGAGAAATGCAGACCACTTGAACAGATCTATTATGTATGTAAAAGGTGAATAAAAATGAAACAGGTAATAAGTGTCATATTTATTTGGGAGGAGAAGAATGACTAGCAGAAAGATGGTGCAGGTGCATAGGAAAAATAGAACTTGGGCTGGACCCTGAACAAACTCAGGCTGAAACAGCAAGCAGGGAAGCTCCATGAGTTGAGATGGAAAAGTCTTTAGGGATGCGCTTGTGCTCATATACACACCTCTGGCAGGTGTAGGGTGAGGGAGGAGATTGGTAGGAGGGAGTCATATAGCCATTTACCAGATTGCTTTGATGTCAGACTAAGGACTTTGGGCTTGGTGCTAGCACTTTAGAGAGTTTTTTGTTTGTTTTGCTTTTATAAGAGGGTGACATGGGCAAAGTATTTAAGAAGTTTGAGTTAACAGCCATTTTTAAGCTAGATTAAGTAAAATAAGACTAGAACAAGGGAAATGAGTGAGGAAAAGATTATAGTGGTCCAGGTCTGGATTGCAAGGAGGCATAATAGATTAAATTGAAGTAGATTGAGTCTTTGGTTAAACTGATACATTCAATTTTATAAACATGTTTTCTTCTTTTACAAGTTTGTCTTTAATTTCTAGCTACATTGAATCCTTTCAAAAAATTACTTTTATGTTATGAAGTTTAAGATGGCAGTATATACTTTAAGTGGTGTTTATGTTTTTCTGTCTCTTTTTGAGACCTTGTAGGGCATATTTGTGTGTTCTCAGCATGTTTCCTTGTTGACATTCTTTTTGTAGCTTGAACTTTTGGAGAAACCAATGAGTGGTATTATCTGCTTTCATTCACTGAATAATGACATTTGTCCCTGAATTACCTTTTCCAAAAGTCAAATCTACCTGGACACAAATATTTTACCACCAAGGACAACAAAAGAATGTGCTACTGTTTCTAAAAGGGAGTCTTATACTGAATCATGTTGCCAAGAGTTAACTCAGGGTCTGGCTTTTTATTTAAAAGAGTATCATAGATTATAGTAAATTGCATCATAGATTGTAATTTTGAAGCTCATTAGTTTAAGTGTTAGTATCAAGCATTTAGCAAGTCCTAGAAGTCTGTAGATGATAAAAGTAATTGCTGTTTATTGAGCATTTACTGCAGGTACTAGTGTTTTTATACACATTCCCTATTCTAGTCCCTCCAACCACCTGATAAAATTACTTTATTAGTACTTTTTTAGTACTTTATTAGTACACCATTTTATAGAAGACGAAACTGAGGCTCAGGAAGTTAAATAAGGAACATAACTAATAAGGTGCATGTTGGCTAAACAATTCACAGCATTCAAATTTTGCAGTTAGGAGACAAATTTGAATTGCTTTTACAGTATTATACTCACTGCACTCCCTCATTATTATATATTGCTGTTAATTGACATATCCTCCTTTGAGAAATGTGTGATCTCTAAAGACTAAGGTAGGATTAGTTGTGCCTGTTTACGTCCTTTGGTTGGCTGCAGGGAAAGAGACCAGGTCTTCCCTTGTCCAGAAAGCCTAAGTGCTAATTACCATTTCCTCTAAAACTGGGAGCTGCTCCTTAAGGAGGGCTGCTTTTGCTCTAATACTTGCACGATTCAAAAGAACAGTCAGACCCAATGCTATCCCATTCTTGGGTGGTGCTTCTTGGTGTTGTATAACCCACTGGACAAGATGTAAATAATTTTGCATTTAAGGTGTAATGATTCTTGTGGTGTGGTGTCAGTCATGAATGCTAAACAACTTTAACTTGATTTCTAAGAGCTATTGATCTATGGTCGACCAGTGTATGTCACCCTAATAGCTAGAAGATCCAGTAAGTTTGCTGGGACTCGTTTTCTCAAGAGAGGTGCAAACTGTGAGGTAAGATGGACACTTTAACCTTTTAAGCTTTTCTGATAGATGAAGCAAAGTGGAATTTGTTAATTTAGAATGGTATCAAAACAATAATTCTGTAGCAGTTCCTTCTGCCTGCTTGTGTCTGTGCAAATGTCCTTTACTCTTTTCTCTCTTTATAATAAACCTATTTTATTGAATAAAAAAAGAATAATTCTGTAGTGAATCTGAAATTTATGAGAAATATGACTAATACACAGGTGTTCTGAAAGATCAGTTACCTTAGAAAGTATTATGCAATGGTTTAGGGAGTTATGAAATGTCTACTGTTTTAAAGGATGAGCCATTTTTGTAATATATAAAAAAATTACAGTATGTACATAATGCAGAGACCCAAAAAATGGAGGAAAACACTTACTTGAAATGTATTTTTGATACATTCTAAGAGCTATTGATCTATGGTTGACCAGTGTATGTCACCCTAATAGCTAGAAGATCAAAATTGAGAGGAAGACCAAATTGAGAAAGACCTTTACTCTCTCCCTCTGTTTTAGTTTGTCTCAAAGCAGACTCCTTATTCTATTCGCCACTAGAAAATAGCCCCAACAAAATTCATCTCTCCTGTCATCAATCATTTAATCTCTTTTGAGTACTCTGTCACTATTTGTTATAGTTTGAGTTTTAAGCAGATGTGTGATTGAGTTGACATATTTGTTGAGACATTTGTTTTTGATCCTGTCATAAAAGAGCAATATTATTCTTAAAAACGTATCAACAATGAAAATAGTTGTACCTGGTTCTTTAAAAATGAAGTTTTGCCACTTAATTATTTACTTTTGAATATTCAAAGGATAATCAAACAGAAATGTTATTAATGCCTCTAAAATTATTCTTTCTCATTTCCTTTGTAGTTTTATAAATAAAACTTCTCAGTACACTGCCCCCCATCTATTAGGCATTATTTGACTCTCACTCTTTTGTCATTTAAGTCCTCCTTAGTCTTCAGAATTGACTTTTATATCCCACCATTCATCCTAATCTCCTATATGATCTCATATAATTGTTTTTCTTTATTGTCTCTCTCTCACTATTGATGTCACTCAAGCTGTTCTCTATCTACTACTTGTATTATGAGCTATTTTATTTTTTCTTAATATATTCTCTGCTATTTTTAATTGCCTGCATTTATTGCATTTTAATGTTTTTCTAACCTCCACATTGAATGTTGATCAACAACTACCTCTATTAATACAGTCTAAGAATAGGAATTATAACTTCATTGTGTACTTGAAAATTTTCTATTAAAAATTCTAGGAACATAAAATAATTTTAAATGTACTCTATTTTCAGGGTGATGTTGCAAATGAAGTGGAGACTGAACAAATACTCTGTGATGCTTCTGTAATGTCTTTTACTGCAGGAAGTTATTCTTCTTATGTACAAGTTAGAGGATCAGTTCCTTTGTATTGGTCTCAGGATATTTCAACTATGATGCCTAAACCACCTATTACATGTGCGTGGAACAATCTTTTAAACGTTATCTCTTATTTACTCACATTTAGAGATTATGAACTTTCATCTAGATGTCTCATAAGTGCTTAGGTTTTAATTAAGTTTTAGTGCTGGGAGGTAGATTATTTAGAAGAGGGACATCTATTTTTCAATAAAATTTTAAATTTAATTTTGCTATAAATTTTTAGTATTTTTAATATTCACTTCAGAAATGTACTAATCAATCACATTCAATAAATAGATGAGGATGAATATCTGATAAGCTCCTCAAGGAATTTGGGAATTGAAACTACTGGAAGATTAGTTGAACCGCATTTCTTTAAATAGTGAAAAACAAAACAAATCCTGCTTTTAAGTTTGAGTCTGGTATTCATCTTTTTTTCCCTCCTCAGTGGATCAGGCAGATCCATTTGCACATGTGGCTGCCCTTCACTTTGATCAGATGCTTCAGAGATTTGGCTCCCCCATCATCATTTTGAATTTGGTGAAGGTATGGTGTGCTCATCTGTTTGGTTATAAAATTTAGTCATCCTGGGCAACTTTTTTCTCAGCACAAAGGGTTTGCCTCCTGATCTCTCATTAGAGGAGACACTTATGAATTAATATGCTGTGACATCTCACTATGCTCAGGGCTTCTGAGCCACTCTTCTTTGGCTTCAGAATTCATGTGGACTCTTCCCTGGGTACCTAGGAGAATCAATGGTATGTTTGCAAGGGACGAGAGCAATGCAGTATGTCAGTCTTCTGTTTATTGTGTGAAGTAGGTGTGAGTGAAGTTCTGATTAAATTTCCAGGATAATTTAGAGAAGGAAGCAAGGAGATTAAACATCCACAGCCTAGTCTTGTAACAGCCAGCTTCCTTGACAATCCAGATTATATCCAGGACAAATTAATACATTGTTAATTAAGAGACAGCATGCTTCATAATGAAGTAAGAGGTCAGCAGCAGCAAATACTGCTGAAGGGTCAAATAAGATGAAAATGGAAGAAATGCTCATTGCTGTTAGCAATGATGAGGTCATTGATTAAAATGGACTGAGGTGTGGTTTGACCATGAACACCTAAAACCTATGTAATGTTATAATGCAATATTACTTTGATTTAAAAACAAAATGAGCAAGTGGTGGCATTGAATAGAGTATCCTTCCTCTGGATGGGGGGGTCCCTAGTGAAAGATGAAGAAGAGTTCACGTTTTCCAGTTTTGTTTCATTTTTCTAAGAGATCATAAAGCTATGTTTAAAAGCCTGTGGGGAGTATCAGTGGGAAGCAATAAACACAAAAGAGAGAAAAGGAATGAGCAGTGGCATCATGCACTTAAGAAAGGAGGAAATGAGGAAATGGGAAATGTGGATAGAGGACTTATTTCTGTGAGGGGGCTGGGAACTCTAGGGTGTAGGGGTGTGTGTGTGTGTGTGCAGGTGTGCTCCCTCCTGATGGCTTTAACTTCTTATGGTAGGAGGAAAGGTCATCTGCTCAGTTTGAGGGTAGTGGGGAAGGTGTACGGTCTTTATGCGTGGGAGGGTAAGTTGACTAGAGACATCCAGACAATGCTAAGGGTAATGTCAAATTGCCAATCAGATTTTCTTTCCTCCTCCTCCTCCTTTTTCTCCTCCTCTTCCTCGTCTTCTTCCTTTTTTTTTCCTTTTGTAATTTAAACAAACTTTGATTTTCTGGGATAAACCTATCTTGATCATTTTTGACAATATACATATTACCCTTATTTTTATTGCTTAATTTGACTTCCTAATATTTGTTAAGGATTTTGTCTATAATTATGAAGAGCATACATCTGTAGTTTTTCTTTTCTTGTAATGAATGTCAAGTTTTAGTATCAGAGTAATGCTGTATTTCTTAAGTGGAATAATTCTGCTATTGGCTGAATTTTACCATAAGGGCTTGTGTGTGGGTATAAGCACAATAAAACAGATAATTGGGTTCATTTAATTTTGCCAGACAGGTATGATATAAAAAGACAGTATCAAAGAAGTTTTGGATACCATAAAAGCATTACAGAAGTGGACCAGGAAATCTGAGTTGGATAGGAGAGGGGACTAATGGAGAAACTGGTCCACAAAATAGGTCTGTCAGTGAATTGAGGTCCTTGTGAGGTCAAGTATTTAAAACAAGAAATCTTAAAATAAAAGAGAATCTGGATAAGAACCATTGAAAGTAAAGGAATTATCTGTGATGCTGACTTTATTTAAGATCTGAGGATGGGGTAGTATTTTGACTAGAGTAGAAGAGGATGGACATTGAGGTACTGAAAGTTGCCCAGGATGGAGGCAAAGTGGAGCTGGCAAGAAAGACTGTAAGCTAGTTCCCAGGAGAGGACCATATAATAAAATGCATGGGTTCAAAGGAGGAGGTGTATATGTGTGTACACATTTGTGTTTTAAATCAAGAGTTTGGAGGAATATGGCCTGAAAGTCACCAAATGGGGAGGAGGAGAGTGAGGAGGGGGAGCTGGGCACAATGAGGAAGTCAGCATCATTTTTCCTTTGTTGTTCTTTGGCTGATATGATTAGTGCAGTAAACCAGGGGTTGACATTGTAAAGTAAATCATTCTAACATTAAACACATCATTTTCTAAGCTTTCATTCACATTCATTCACAATCATTCAAAATTTTCATGTTCTTATTTCTTGCATCTGTCAGCTCAGAATAATACAGGGCAATAGCTGGATAATCTGTAATCTTGGCCTCATATTGAATAGTAGTATAATATTGGAAAATTAAAGTAGGAAAACTCCAGTAACAAAAGCCTTCTTGCATACTCTTCCAGTATATGTGTAGAAAATAAGACATTGTTAGTATAGAAATAAATTATTGCTAACATACTGAAATACAGGTCTTCACTATAGCATAAACATTGACCTAAAACATGTATGTTCTCTATGTTTTACAGTCTGTACTGTAGTGAAAATGCAATTTAGTCCAAATTCTCTATTAAATATGCATATTAAAAAATAATAGCTGATCACTGTGATTCTAAAGTATTGTTTTCCAGATTTCTCAAATGTGCATTATTTTGAATATTTAAAGGTCTGTGAGTGGATTTTAAAATTGTATTTGTATTCCATTGGTCTAACAGTACTAGCAATAACTAGAGATTAACTAGAAAATCATTTGGGAATTAAATTGCTGTTTTGTGAAATAGAATTTTTTTTTTGTTTTTGTCATTATTTTTCATTTTACTGTCATATTTTTGTCAGTTCTTTTGTTTGTCAGATAAAAGATGTTCATTTAGTTCACTTGGAAGTGAACTGAACTTGTGATTAAAGGATTAAAGAAAGCTGTGTGTGTATAGAGCGATACTGAAGGATATTCACTCATCATGCTGCCTCCCTGTGAAATTACTAATGTGAATTCTTCTCTCAATTTCTTTTCTCTCTACCCTCTATAGTGAACTACCTCCACACCTCCCACCCCTGCACATCACAGTTGTGGGAGTTAGAGACACTAATGATAGACATTTTGCAGCAATCTCTGTGCTTTTTATGCTGCTGCTGGTGATGAATAAGAAGTTAGCCTGGGATCAAGTGTAGCTCTACATAGAGGTTCTCATCTGGGGACCTGGGTGTTAATGGAGGTCTCTGAGCCCTTTGAAATGATTTGCAAAGTCACTTGTATATTTGAAGTTTTCATTTGATTGTTAAAAGAGTCTGATTCTAGGGCCTCCCTGGTGGCGCAGTGGTTGAGCACTGGGTTGCGAGGCTGCCTGCAGCCTCTGCAGCGCCACTTCAATCCCGGCCACTGGCGAGGGTCCCACAAAAAAAAAAAAAGAGTCTGATTCTACAGAGGCTGACTAAACAGTCCACTAACACTAATCCACTGTGAAGCAGCAATGCATAAACAGATCCTTTACATCGGGATGATTGAAGGATGATTAAATAATCTTTTGTCTCCATCTCATAAAAAGTTAGACTTGATATTAACATTTCAAACAGTTTTCATGTCTCTAGTTGACTTACCATGCTAGTGAGAAAATTTCTTTATATATAATTTAATTTTCTCAGGTGTAAAAAAAAGCTAAACCTAAACTGGTTTAACTCTGTTCTTAATCAATTCTTATCTATCAATAATTTTTCCATTTGATTTATTCAGCTGTGCAGAATGGATACCCTTTTTTTAATTTCCACAGTGGTTATTTAATTAAATTCATGGCAATTGAAAAGTAATCACCATGATTGAAAACAGCATAGATTTATTTTCATGCCAACAATAGTGTTGCAATACCATGTCATTATCAATATTGCCGAATTAATTGTTTTTCTGTTTCTAAGATAAGGCCTGATAGGGATAACAATAAAAATAGTAAATTTTTATTAATATTTAACATGTGTCAGATGCTCCAGTAAGAAATTATTATGCTTTATCACATTTAAACTTTACATTAATGCTATAAGGAGATAGTATTGGTACCCACATTTTATAGATGAAGAAGTGGAGGCGTGGGGATGTTGAGAACCTTGTCCAAGGTCACATGGCCAGTAAGTGGCAGAGCTAGCATTCTAACCTGCACTAGCCCCTTTTAAGTGAGAGGCTGTATAATATCTAAGGTTGTGCCACAAGCAAGGAGGCAGAAGGTAAGATTTAGTTCCATGAATGCCTCTCACCTTCATTTCATTCGACCATAGTGTAAAAGTGCCTGCTTTGGCTACCTCAAAGGGTGTTTTCTGAGGCTCATATTTAAAGCCATATGAAGACTGTGAAAGTGCTTTCTACTATGCCAGTTTAGGATTAATCATCCAGTACATTATTCAAAAATAATGTACATTTGAGAAATCTGGAAAATAATACTTTAGAATCACAGTGATCAGCTATTATTTTTAATATGCATATTTAATAGAGAATTTGGACTAAATTGCATTTTCACTACAGTACAGACTGTAATTAATTTCTGTATGACTCTTAGTTGGCTTGAATTGGGGGATCCCTTCTTTTTGTCCTACTAGAAGGGGTGTAGAATATATAGGGTGATCTGGGCTTCTTTTGGGCTCTGGGAGGGTACCAGGAAGAAATCTGATCTCCTGAGTCTTTAGTTTATTATCTGTTGATTTTAATCAGTGAAGTATTTCTTTGCATTTAAATTAACCTAAGGAGGGCTTCCCCGGTGGCGCAGCGGTTGAGCGCTGGGTTGCGAAGCTGCCTGCGGCCCCTGCAGCGCCGGTTCGATCCCCGGCTGCTCCCCGGCCTCCGGAGGAGGGTCCCACATGGCGCGCAGACCTCTCCTGCCGCCCGCTGCTCCCCTCTGCAGTGTACCTCGGTCCCTCTGCCTGCTCTGCTCCCCGCTCTGGCTCTGGTGAATTCTCTCACCCTCCCGTGCTTCTGACTGTACCCAGTGCATGTATAAACAAAAAACAAACAAATAAATAAATAAAGCATGCCTCTATTAAAAAAAAAAAAAAAGAAATAGCCCTGCATTTATTTAAAAAAAATAAATTAATTAATTAATTTACCTAAGGAAGTTAAGTTTTATTTCAGTATATTTAGGGAAGTCTTTTTGTCTTACCTTAGCTGTGAAGTAAAAATGTTATGTCTGTCCCTCTGATTTAAAGTAATTAGGGGCCTCCCCGGTGGCGCAGCGGTTGAACGCTGGGTTAAGAACCTGCCCGCAGCCTCTGCGACGCCGGTTCGATCCCCGGCTGCTCCCTGGCCACAGGAGGAGGGTCCCACATGGCGCGCAGACCTCTCCTGCCGCCCGCTGCTCCCCTCAGCAGTGTGCCTCTGTCCCTCTGCCTGCTCTGCTCCCCGCTCTGGCTCTGGTGAATTCTCTCACCCTCCCGCGCTTCTGACTGTACCCAGTGCTTGTATAAACAAACAAACAAACAAATAAATAAATAAATAAATAAACAAGCCTCTATTAAAAAAAAAAAAATAAAGTAATTAGAATACTGAAAATGTTTAATTTTTGATAAAGGAACGAGAGAAAAGAAAGCACGAGAGAATCCTGAGTGAAGAACTTGTAGCTGCTGTGACATACCTCAACCAGTTTTTGCCTCCCGAGCACACTATTGTCTATATTCCTTGGGATATGGCCAAGTATACTAAAAGGTGAATAGATATTCATGTATCTGATTATATTTCCCTTTATTGTAATGTAAAGTAGTAGGAAGCTGACCTCTATAGTAAAGTAAATGCCACTCTTTTAATTTCTTCATGGACCTGCTTTATGGATGTTTTGCTATTGATATAAAATTGGAGTACTTAATTTACCAGAGTCCTTTTTGCCCATTATTTACAACATTTGCAAATTCTGCTTATGTAGCTATTCAACACATCACTTCTCTATTGCTTTTCCTTAAAGGCATTAGTTTTGCTTTTTTCTCTTTCACTCTGTTTCCCTGTTTAATCACTTTCTCTGATACCACTTTCTGTTGGTCTCCCTCTGCATGAACCTGCAATAACCCCTGTTTACTGTAAATCTGAACTCTTTAGTATAGTGCTAAAGCCGCATTAGTTGGTTGGTTCCAGAATGTAATGACTTTTTCTTTATTCCCAGGGCTGCTCCGTGCCTGAAAATCTAACTTTCATGTTCTGCCCCAAATGCAGCAGCCACACTCCCACCCACAGCCTTTGTCCCTGTTGTGTGTTCCCCTGGGTTTGCTTTCCCTCCTCTCTTTTACCTCAGAATGATTAAAAATTCATCCTGTGTAAGGAACTTTCATTAACCCTTCATTGTTCCTTTGTTCATTTACAATTAGCAATATTAGGTTTATTTTGAGGTCTTATTTCTTTTTAATGTTACTGTATTTTTTGCATGCAACTCATTTCTTTTCTAAATCTTTTTTTTGTAACTAGACACACATAATTGCACACACACACACACACACACACATGCTTTCTCAGAAAAGAGAAATTATTATGAACCTGTTTATAGATTGGTGTTATTCAGATTATTTTGTTTTCTCTTGCTTTCTTCTCCTACCCCCAACACTGCATTGTGTTCTCTTTGTAGTCATTTTATGAATGCGCATTGACTTGGCTGACATCACTCTTGAGGAGTGAAGGCTTTTCCCAAGGAAAAGTTCTTGCAGGGATGTAATGTGCCAAGATTAAGCCTTGTCAATATTTAATATTAAGTTGCAGGTCCTTCATATATCTTTGTATCAAACTTACTAGTCATTGAGTACACATTGAGAGATTTTTTAAATGAAGCTCCTGAATATCATTACTTTCAACATTATTTACTTCAGTTATAAATATAATATGCATTAAAACTTGGGTTTTTCTCACCTATCCCATTCTTCCTCCTCAGCAAACTATGTAATGTTCTTGATCGACTGAATGTGATTGCAGAAAGTGTGGTGAAGAAAACAGGTTTCTTTGTAAACCGCCCCGATTCTTACTGCAGCATTTTGAGGCCAGATGAAAAGTATGTATGGTATTTAAAAACTTAAAATAAGTCAAGAATATTGCTCATATGGATATAAAACTATTGTAAATATAAGCAGCTTGTATGATTTGGAAGTGGATGAATTTATTCCTTTGGGGCGGCAAGCTGCTCATGTGCCTGCAGTGAATGTTCACTGTAGGCGTGGGAATTACTCTGCTGGTTGTTTACCTTGAAATGGATGCCATGGAATCTTTACAATTACATAAAATGTTTCTGTGAAATAAAATTTTCTGCAGTGAATTCTGTTTTTCATTATTACGTAGGAATAGAAACATTTTTTTCTTGCAGGTTAAATGCTACCAGTTTTTATGAAAATAATAATTATCATTATTTTGTAGATACTTGCTCACAATTATTCTTTCATTAGTACTTTGTGAGCTTCTTCGAATCAAGGATCTATGTTTTATTTCCCTTTTAAGGATCAAATATTATTCCAGCATTTTATTTTCAGTTAACATTAATTGTAATGTTAAAAATATCCAAAAAGGAAAGCAATAACAACCAACTAGTGTGTGTCTTTGAAAGTAATTCTTTTGTTATAGTTTGTATTTGTTAGAGTTTGAATCTTAGGGCACTTGTGACACAGGGATCCCTAAAACCACTTTCCCTAGGAGAACTCAAAAGACTGAACGTACTGTACTCATGACTACGATAAAGCAAAATTAGCAAAAGGAAAAGGCACCAGGGGCAAAGTCCAGAGAAAATTAGGTTAAGCTTCCAGAGTCCTCTCCCAGTGAAGTTACACAGAACATGCTTAATTTCCACCATCAACTCTTTGTGACAGCATGCAGGAAATGTTGCCAACCAATGGAGCTTGTTAGAGACTCAGAACAGGGTCTTTTTGTTGGAGGCTGGTCAGGTAAGCAGCCTCTGCCTGTCATGTACCAAAATTCCAGAGTCTCAGAAGAAAACAAGGCATTTAGCAAAAACCATGCTGTTTCTACAAACAATTGAGGCTCAGGAAACCACTCTTGTCTGTTCTGGAATAGTGGCAACCCAAGTTCCCAGATGCCAACTGCAGGCCAACCTTGCAAGCAGGCCTTTTTTAGGACAACTCCAAGGTCTGCTGTGTTAACTCTTTCCTTCAATGCACCTTCTTTTAAATAATTAAAATGTTGATATCATTATATAGTAGTTGATAACAAAACATATACCTAGTATTTGGAGAAAATAAATAAGAAGGAAAGTGATAAGAACTTGTGTATAAATAACCAAAGGAATGCTGCAAATCTCCATGAAGAAAGGCTGAAGGAGGTCAAGACTGAGTAGAGAAGGGTAGATGTGGAAAATTTATTACAAAACATCCCTACAGTTATTATTGTCTCTAGGGATGAAACAGGAAATGGGCTTACATTAAAGCAAGGGAGATTTTGCTTGTACATAGGTGATAAACTGGCAGTGTGGGGCACATTAAGATATTCTATATTCACTTGCCAGAAAGAATTGAAAGTAAACAGAATCGGGTAATTGTTCAGGTGCATTCACCTCTATTACTTTGATTCTATGAATATTAATAAAGAGACATTGATTAAAAATACATTCATTAAAAATTCAATATAGATTATGCCATTAATTTATTTTTTAAATCACATATTTTTAAACATAGGTGGAATGAACTTGGAGGATGTGTGATCCCCACCGGCCGCCTTCAGGTATAGACTGTGTTCTGTTAATAATGCATAAAGTTTATTTCCACATGAATGGTTATTTTTAAAGCAAGCTTGGAGAAGGAGAACTTATTTACTACAAAATTAGTAATCATTTGAGGATAATTTTAAAAAGTCTTGTTGCTAGTGTTTAGCTCTTACAAAAGATATTTAGTTAAAATTATAATGGCTCATAAATTATTTTATTTGGGGGAATAGAAACATAAACAGGAATGTGAAAATAATAAATTCAAATGACATTGGAAACAGAGCCAGATACAGTTATTGTATCTTTTAATGATACTTAAAGAATGATATGGCCTCAACCACTGAATATATTTGATTTGTAGTGTTTTTAAAAAGCATGTATGTTACTAATTGGTACATAATGATAATGTTAGCTATTTGTTTTTTCTTGTTAAACAAATGGAAAAAATGTAGATATATACTAGCAGGTATATTGATAGTGTTGGAGTAATATTAGGTAAGTAGCAACTATAATCTTTCTAAATTTGAAAAGTGTTCTTGATTATTTGTTCAGGAGTAATATCCTGCCTACAGCCTTTCTTCAGCTTCTAATAAGAAATCTAAAGTAGGGCCTCTCTGGTGGTACAGGGGGTTAAGATGCAACCTATGAAGCTATCCACTGCCACTGCAGCATGAGTTTGATCCCCAGCCAGGGAGCTACCCACATGGCACAGCAGACCTCTCCCGACTCGCCTGCTGCTCCCCTCAGCAGTGTATTTCACTCAGTCTGCCTGTTCTGTTCCTCACTCTGTCTCTGGTGAATCCTCTCACCCCTACACCTCTGGCCTGTGCCCCAGATCTTATATGCATACATAAATAAATCTTTTAAAAAAAGAAATCTAAAGTAGTATGAGAATTGTTTGGTGACTGAATAATGGATGAAAGTTAAGGTATTTCTCTTTAGACTGGCGTTCTTCGGACCAACTGTGTAGACTGTTTGGATCGCACCAACACAGCACAGTTTATGGTGGGGAAATGTGCTCTGGCTTACCAGCTGTATTCCTTGGGATTGATTGACAAACCTAATCTACAATTTGATACAGATGCAGTTAGGTAAGCCTAATATTTTGCCCTTTGAATTCTGATAATTAAAAAAAGTGAACTTTACAACTAATAAGGACTTTTATGAATTCATTTCTGCTTTTAGCCTCTCAAAACTTATGTTGCTAAAGTTATTCATATTAATTTTCTAATTAATATTTCTTTTATAGACTTACATGTTGTTGCCATGGTTTTAGGTGTTTTTGTTTGTGTTACTTATCAATAAATATTAAGTTCTTTAGGTAAATACAAAGTATTTAAACTAGTGGGTTTTTAAAAAAAATCCACTCTGCCTTTAAAAGTAATGTACTTTCGGTTGTAATTACATGGGGAATATAAAAATAAAATTAAAAAAAAATAAAAAAATTAAAAAAATAAAAGTAATGTACTTTCATGTATTTTGAATTAAAAATGTAAGACATAAAAAAGATTGATTCTTCATTAGGGATTATGGTTCCTTCACTGCTCATTGGATTTATGACATTGCATGAAATACTGCTTCTTGACACTACAATGATCCTGTATTATTGGGCATCTGAGATAGTCATAAAGGCTCTGTCACCTTATAAATAGCCAGATCCATAGATACAACTGCACTGAAAACTTTAACAGGCACTCAAAGAAATATACATTCCAAACATGTACTTATTTCTAAAAAAGAATACTGTTTATCTGTCTGTGAAAAGAGCATTACCATTTTTCCAGAGGCAATTCAGAGAACAGAAAATTCTGTCATGGGAGGCAAATTGATCTGGTGGGCTGCAGAATACATGAGACTTTAATCACAGTTTGAAGCAGCTTGGTTTGGCACTGGCAGGTTATGGTTTTGGTGCCCCCTGCTTCCTTTTTAGTGTCTTCTGTGACTTGTTGCTTATTAGAATATCACAATAAAGTTGAATGCAATTGCATTTATCTTCAAGATGTTGAGGATTCTCCTCGAAAGTGTCTATTTGAAAGACTCAGAGGAATTCATAAAAGTAAAAGATTTGTTTTGAGCTTGTGACTAAGTAAATAATATGTAATACCAGCAGTGGAGGGAGAAAGAGAGAGGTCAGAACAGGGAAGGAAGAGCACAAGGGACTATGGCAACAGATCACATGTGATGTGGTAGAGGGAGATCTATGGGGACTACCTCTGAGGGGAGAAATCAAATATTGTACAAAAATGAACAATGTAAGAAAATCAAAAAGTTCAACAACAACAAAAATATGTAATATTTCTGATAAAATTTTTTAATCCTGGTTTTTATTTTGCTTAGGTTATTTGAGGAACTCTATGAAGATCATGGGGATACCCTGTCCCTGCAATATGGTGGTTCTCAGCTTGTTCATCGTGTAAAAACTTACAGAAAGATAGCACCATGGACTCAGCACTCAAAAGACATCATGCAGACCCTGTCCCGATATTATAGCAATGCTTTCTCAGGTAATTCTGAAATAACAGGTGTTTCTAAGACTTATCAGCATATGCATTCTTCTTATGCTTATTTTTTTTAGCTATATGACTAAAATCAAAATTAAATATTTTAGAAAGTTTAAGTTAAAGTCTGGCATTTAGAAGATGCTCAATGTATTTTTGTTCAGTAAGTAAATAAAAAGCTTTTGCATTTTAAGTAAGGCACTTTTAGAACTCTGCCTACCAGAAAGGGAGGGTGGGGAGTAGAAACAGAGAGGTGAAGGGCCCCAATGGACTATGGTGAAAGATTTGGGGCTCTGGCAGTGGGTGTGCTGTGAGGTGTATGCCTACTCCCCTAAAACATATACAGTTTTGTAAACCAACACTACTCAATAAACATAATAAAAAATAAATAGATCACTTTTGCATTTTGCCATTCCTAGCATGATGGACTCAGCACTCATAATTGGAGATTTTATATAATGTAAAATTCTTTGATTCCTTAGCTTATGTTCCATTCTCTATTTCTGTTTGCAATATATAGTTTAATTCATTTGAGGGTGTTGGATCATTTTTTATTTTTTATTTTTTTTAAAGATTTATTTATTTACTTTATTTATTTATACAAGCACTGGGTACAGTCAGAAGAGCGGGAGGGTGAGAGAATTCACCAGAGTCAGAGAGGGGAGCAGAGCAGGCAGAAGGACCGAAGTACACTGCTGAGGGGAGCAGCGGGCGGCAGGAGAGGTCTGCATGCCATGTGGGACCCTCCTCTGGTGGTCGGGGAGCAGCCGGGGATTGAACCGGCGCTGCAGAGGCTGCGGGCAGCTTCGCAACCCAGCGCTCAACCGCTGCGCCACCGGGGAGGCCCTGGATCATTTTTTAAATGGAGCTCCTAGTCTTGACAATTGTTTAAGAATGAAATATAATTTATTTTTTCAAATGTTAACTAGACATGAATAGTATATCATCACTAAATTGTACTCTTTGCTTATTTTATGACTTGCAAATACTAAAAGTAACAGATTGTTAAAATGGCACTTCTTGCCTCTGTGCTAATAGAGTTTCCAACACAATAGATATCACAGACCAACGTGTTCCCATGCACAGAATTTATGAAGAAATGTTCAGTGACCTATTCCACGAGCTTTGGGCCCTAGAACTAGAGCAAGGATTTAAAAAACACATAGAATATGGAGAAGAAAAGATTGGCAAAGAGATTGTTTGGAGTGAACTCTCACCTTGCAGTTATTCTCTAATGGCTTTCTCTCTGGTTATGTTTTGTTTTGTACTAGTTTCCTGGGGCTTCAGTAACAAAATACCACAAGCTGGTGATTTTTAACTAACAGATTTATTGTCTCCAAGTTCTGGGAGATAAAGTCAGACATCCTGCTGTTGACAGAACTGTGTTCCCTCTGCAGTCTCCAGGGAAGACTCTTTCTTGCCTCTTACCTTCTAATGGTTTGCTGCTGAGTCTTAGCTTCCAACTGTAGCACTTTAATGTCTACCTCTGGTGTCCCGTGACATTCTCTCCCCTCCCCTCTGTGTCAGTGTCTTCTCAACATTCTCTTCCCTATATGTCCCTGTCTATTTATAAGGATACAAGTCATATTAGATTTACAGCCCAGCTTACCCCAGTGTGTCTGCATTTTAACTTGGTCATACTTGCAAAGACTCAATTTCCAGAGAAGATGATATTCACAGGTATCAGGGATTAAGACTTCAACATATCTTTTTGGCGGACACACTTCAGCTTATAACAGTGGTATATAAGCCATGTGCCAAGAAGCACATATCTTTTTGAGTGTGTGTAGCATGAAAAGGTTTAAAACTTCTTTGGTGGAAAGGGTCATCCACTCTTCTGCCCTTATGTGATCATTGCCCATGTAATGGTAGTTATTATGGACACTTAAGGACCAAGTAATGTGTTTTTAATAACACTTGAGGACAGGGAATGGGTGTGTAACTGTACGTGATTTAAAAGGAAGGGAGTACTACTAAAAGGGGATGGTCATGGAAAAATAACATGTACTTAATGGAAAGCTAAAGTAAAATTATATGGCACTGAAAAAGAAACTAGTGTGAAAGAATTATTTTATGAATAATGTGGCTAACCCAGACTATTTGAGAAGCATGGTGTACTGAGGTGCAGCTTATTTTTAAATTATAATGAATATTATATAATGATAATATATTTATAGAATCATTCTCTTTAAAGCACTCAAATAACTTTGTAAAACTTATGCCTCTGGAATGTGCAGGAAGATACTTGAAATTAGATTTTTTGGAATTTTATCTTTGGCTTATCTAGACAGATTAAAGTTATTGGAAAACCCAGCAGATCCCCTTTTAGGCTCATTTTTAAAACTGAAGCTTTACATATTAGCATGCTCTAGAACTTGTCTCTGCCAAGCATCTTTTGGCTTCTAACATAACTGACTACATAGTCAATTTGGAGGATACCATCAAGGAAAGATTAGGTACCTATATACAGCCTTATGATGTTAAGGAAGGCTTTATAATTCCCTTAAGCTTCATGTTAAGCTCTTTCTAATTTTTTTTTTTTAATTTACCTTTTGGTAAGCTCAAATTTTCTTGCTGAAGTTCATGAATATAAGAAGAAAAAAGATGGGATATCTATAGTAGTTGATTGCCTATCAATCTTTCTCTCTACCTAAATATATGTTCACTCAAGTAAATTAAATGCAGAGTATGTATGCTTGCATGGTAGGAAACTACAGCCTTCTCAGAGATAAAAAAAAACAAAACACAGATTTAAAAAAAAAAAAAAAAGAACTCGATGGGTAATGCCTTCAAAGCTCACCCCACGTGAACAAGCAGTGGTTACGGAAAGCATCAAGGTGGCATCACCCTGCATCGTGATAGTGCTGTGGGGTAGTGGGACAGGTCCTTTCCCTTTCTGCTTACCACATACAGGGGGGCCTGCAGAGGAGCATGCTGGGCACACTTTACTTTATTAAGAGTAATAAAATAACTTTCTAGGGTCATCCTTCTAACAGCAAAGACAATTGGAAACATGTTTTATTTTTAATAATAAATAACATTAATAACTGATTAAAACCCAGTTATTTACCTATCTTGCCACCAAATCAGTAATATAGAGCAAAAGAAAAAATTGCAACTATTATTCTCAGTTTAAATTGACTGCAGTTCCCTAAAGGACACTCAAAACCACTTTAGTCCTACTACATTTGCCCAGTATATTCATTCTGCTGTTTTCCCAAAGACCATTTTATATCTGTCCTCACTCCTTAACCTGTAGCAATCCCCAGTTCATGCTCTTACTTCACTGAAAAAATAAATCCCTGAGGATAAACTTCCTCCTCTTCATCAAATGTGATACTTGTCTTCATCTGCACCCATAGAGTCTACCTTATATCATATCCCCATAGTTGGAGTGCTGTGCCCTCTTAGTGCAAACCCTTCTCTGTGCTCTGAATCCTACTCCTTCTGCTTCCCCCTGAGATTATATGCATCTCTGTCTTCCCTTTCTACAGGGAAGAATCCATGTGACTAACCTGGGCCCACTTATCTAATACAGGACAATTTGTCTATCTTGAAGGCAATGATTAGTAACTTCCATTACATCTTCAAAGTGCCTTTTGCCATGTGTTACAGACTTCATGGGTATGACATGAGGAAGCAGAGATCATGGGGACCAGATTTCTTCCTATTACAGATATCTCAAACTTATTTCTGAGACAGAAACTCTTGAACTATCTCAAATCTGTTTCTCTACTTGTTTTTTCCACATCAACACCATTGCTCAATTCAGAAATCCAGAAATTATCCTTGACTCCTATATTTTCTTTATCCCATCTCTCAAGCCAATTTTCTTGACTCTATCTCCAAAATATATTCAACCCTTTCTGCTGTTTTTCATCCTTTTTGCTCCTATACTGGTGCCAACACTGCAGTAACTGAACACTGCAGTAACTCCTTAGTCATCTGTCTGGTTTCACTCTTGCTTTTTATAGCAGCCATGGTAATCATTTCAATGCTCAAATAAAATCACATTGCTCCTTTCTTTAAAACTTTTCCAGGATTTCCCGCTGCACATGGAATAAGACACATTGCCCCAACTGATAAAACTTTGTGTGATCTGGCCCATTTGTTCCTGATACTACATTTTCCCTTGCTCATTGCCCTCCAGCCTTGCTGGCCTTCTTTTTGTTTCTGGAGCTTCCCAGCTTGTTCCCCTTCAGACCTTTGCCAGTCCTTCTGCTTGGGCACAGCCTTCAGAACTCCACCTCCTTCTCATCCTTACAGTTCAAATGCTATATCCTCAGACACCTCAGCCTCTTCTGCCTTCCCTGACTACCCGAAGGGCCCTCTCCTCCCTCATCTCTCTCATAGCAGTCTGTTTTATATAAAACTTACACCCTCTGACAGTACCTCATTCATTATTTATTTGTATATATTTTTGTCTCCCACTGTGGAATGTAAGCCCCACGAGAGCCAGAGTCTGTCTTGCATACTACTGTATCTCCAATGTGAGACATAGGAGATTCTTGGATGAAAGGATGAATGATCCTTTTTTCCCCCAATTATGAAATTGATATGTGTTAACTTTAGAAAGTACATACTAGCTTGCAAATCAATCATATAATCGTCACCTACCAGAGAGAGATAGCCACTTGTTTATATTTAGGAGAACATGATCCTTCTAGTTTCACTATACATATAATTGATAGATTATATATATAATCTATAAATAATGTAAGTTATGCCCTTATAGATAATGTAAGTAATACTTAGGACCTTGAAAATCCTTCTATAACATGATTATTAGTAGCCTTTAGAAGCATTGTCATTTAGTTATTTGTTATGACTGTGTATTTACATTCCTTTTAAGCAAACATCTTGGAACATACATCTTTTTTGCATATCTTTGATCTTACGAAAATTTTGGAAGCATATTTACTAGGTGAGGGAGTTACATATTTTCAGATTTTAAAAAGCATATAGATTCAGATTGCCTTACAGAAAGGTATAGTAGTTAATGCTTTCTCAGCATTTCTCAGTGTAATAAGTAGAAAATGGTATACTTTAATCTACCATTGTTTATTAAACATTAATTTATTTGTTTGATAATAAAGTTAAACATTTGCATATTCATTTTTTATAATTCTTTTCAAAATTACCTGTTTTTCTCTCTCTCCCTCTTTTTTTTTAGCTAGGGTATATTGATCTTTGTCTTCCTTACATTTAGTTGGTATTTCTTTCAATGTATAGTATCAGTTAGGAAACCAATTTCTCACCATAGTTTCCAATATTATTTATTGAATAATGGTTCTTTCCATTAGCCATGTTATCACAAACTTAATTTAATATTATAATAGTAAATATCTTGTTTTTTTTTTTAAAGATTCACATACGAGAGCTGGAGTGTAGGCCACAGGTACAGGGGTGAAAGGATTCACTAAAGACAGAGTGGGGAGCAGAACAGGTGGATCTACTGAAATACACTGCTGTGGGGAGCAGTGGGCAAGACAGGAGAGGTCTGCTGCAACAAATGGGTTCACTCCCTGGCAGGGGATCAAACTCATCCTGCAGTGGCTGGTGCTACATTGATAGCAATGAAACTTTAACCCCTGCACCATTGGGAGGCCCAATAGCAAATATTTTAGTTCCAAAAGTAATTTTTTTTTGCTAATTAAAAATTGCTATGTTCAAGTCTGATTTATTTAAATACAATGCATAAAATAACACTGGTATTATTTAATTGTTTAAATGGTTTTTGAATGCTGTGTATTCCTTTCTCCTTTAAAGCATGATTGAATGCAAAAAGAAGTAATTATTTTGCTCTCTCGCTGGCTACAAGTTCTCTCACCTATTTTAAGCCCTTGTTCATATCCAAAGTACCACTGTCTTCCTGGGGGTCATTGATTGCCTTATTTGTGGTCAAAAGTAGCCAGGAAGAGATCTTTAGGATCATTAGGGTTATCTTGTAGACGACATACTAAGTGACCACAAACACCACAGATATATTTTAAGTTATAACACAGCAATACATTTAAGAAATCTTCACTATGATCCTTTAGAGAAATATCCTTTATTTACTTGTATTTCTCACATCTTACATTTTATCATACTTGCTAAAAATTGAAGGAAGCTACTATTAGGCTTAAAGGATGAAAGAAACTCCTTGAAAATATCACTGAAAAATGGAAAGCTCCTCTAGATAGAATTAAGATATTTTGAGGCACTGAATAGAATGAATTATTAAGTGCCATTAAAGCTGTTCAAGAAGCATAATCTAATTACTATAAAAGCAGTATGTTTACTTTTGTATTGTGTAAAGAGGATGCAAATTGGGGCAGTAATGTCTGCATCATTTAATACTTGATGTTTTCTCTCAACGAATGGCAAAAAAAAGACCCAAGTAATTTGGCATATAAATATATCCCTTTTATATAACTTTTAGCCCAAAAGGTAAGAGCTATTTTAATAGAATGCTTCCTGTCAAAATACTAATAGCTGGAATACACATCAAATGTATCTTATTTCATTCATTGCTTTTGCTGAAATGACAACATAGCCCAATGAGAGCTACATTACTAATTTCAAATGTATCTATGTTCACCATAGCTGTTGGAAGAAAATTGATTTTATGATAATGTTACCTTGTTTCAAAAGCAGACATTTCTACTGTGCTATCTTTTCAGTTTGATGCTCATTTTCAGAAAGAGGTTATTATTGATACTGTGGCTGGCTGCCCCAAACTTGATTATGCCAGGTTCTGAGACAGGACTGAAAAGGAGTAACTGAAGGGAGAGAATGAAGGCTGCTAGGAAGGGGACAGTGCACATGCTAAGGGTGAGACCATGCAGGGCTGACCACCATTTGTATTATAATTAGGAAAAGGAAGAGGAAATACAACATATACATAGTTTTATTAGCTTGTGGTATAGTTTCAAAAGGTCATTTTGGAGCAGCAAGATAGCTAGAGTGAGGCTGTTGTTCCTGGGCCCTCTCTGTCTTCATTATCAAGCATAGAAGGTAATGGGCCAGGCCCACAACTGAGAGGAACAGAAATCATTGTAAATATTGTCTCTGCTAAAGAAACAGAGAATATCTTTCAAGGATTAAAAGTGGCAATTTCGCAAACCAGCTTGTTCAGTGTTGTGTAACAGAATATGGATAGGAACTGGGTCATTTTATTTATCTCTGAAGTCTTTCCTCACCTTCGCAATAAAATGAAGATGTTTTTGTTTCAGATAAGCTAACATATGGTGAGAATGCATTTTCAGTCTAAAAATAAAGTCAATAAAGTATTATGTCATTTTTTATAGATTTTTAAGTGTTTAAGATTCAAAAAGTTTATATTTACCATACTTGTCACTGTATTATGAGAGGTATGGAGCAAAATGGAAAACTGATAAAGCTGGATTTCAGTTCTACTGGAGAGATTGGTAACTGTTTTACATTTTGTTTATATATGACTTTTGAAATAGACTCCTGTTTTCAGAGGTGTGGTCTATGAAATCACAGTTGTGCCCTGATTCTCCTGGGAGAATATTCTCCCCAGTTGTATATGTCAGAAATGGAATTTCTGAAATACATATTTTTGCTTCTTAGATGCTGATAGACAAGATTCCATTAATCTCTTCCTGGGAGTTTTCCATCCCACTGAAGGAAAACCTCATCTCTGGGAACTCCCAACAGATTTTTATTTGCATCACAAAAATACCATGAGACTTTTACCAACAAGAAGAAGGTATTTTGCTTCCTAATCTGTTAACTTAGATTTGTTGTTATTTTAAATAGGAGCTCTTTTTTCTTTCTGAGATATGATCACCTAGGCTAAAGTTTCTGTTTTAACTATGTGTTTGCCACGAGAAATTTAATGTAGCTGATACTGGATGTTGATTTAATGTCCTGATACTAAATTTGGGAAATTCTGTTTAACTATTGGTGTTTTGCATTTCCCTATAATATAAAGTATCAGAACTTCATCATTGAACATAAGCTGTGGCTCCACTAAAGCAGACCATTAATATAACTTTTGAGTCCTTCCTATAAATGTGAGCTCTCAAGAACTCAATCTTAGAATCACCCTGATTTTTCAAGTATTACATCTAGCAGCATCACTTTGGAATTCTGATGTCCTTTCCTCCAGGAGCACAACCAACTCTCAGCGACAATGATAAAGACAGGAAAAAAGTTCGGTGACTACAGAGGCTGCTCTCCCTGCCATCACCCAGTCACTCAGTTTGGGTTTTCTAAGGTTTTTTTTGTTTTGTTTTGTTTTTTAAGATTTATTTATTTATTTATTTATACAAGCACTGGGTACAGTCAGAAGCATGGGAGGGTGAGAGAATTCACCAGAGTCAGGACCAGAACAGGAAGACTGACAAAACTCACTGCTGAGGGGAGCAGTGGGCATGGCAGGAGAGGTCTGCACGCCATGTGGGACCCCCGCCCCGTGGCCGGGGATCAAATCGGTGCTGCAGAAGCTGCGGACAGCTTTGCAGCCCAGCGCTCAACCACTGCGCCAACGGGGAGGCCCTTTTCTAAGTTATTTTGATGAAAGCTACATGGGTACTAATGTGCTCTTAAGACATGAGCTCTTGGGCCTCCTCGGTGGCACAGTGGGTTGAGCACAGCACTGTGAAGCTATCTGCAGCCTCTGCAGCACCAGTTCAATTTCCAGCTGGCCAGGGACATAACCACATAGCGGGGCAGACCTCCCCTGTTTCGCTCTCTACTCTCCTCAGCAGTGTACTTCGGCCCATCTGCCTGTTCTGTTCCCCACTCTGTCTCTGGTGAATCCTCTCACCCTCCCACACCTTTGGCCTGTACCCCAGTTTTTGTATAAAAATAAATAAATCTTTAAAAAAAAGATATATTTTATAAAAAAATGAGCTCTTCACCTGAGGCATTTTAACAGGCCACCCTCCCTGTAGCATGGGCCTTAGGGTCAGGCAGACTAGAGTTGGAATCTTTGCAGTTGTGTGACCTTGGGCTAGTTAACTTATTCTTTTTAAGTCTCATTTTTTTCATCTGCAAAATATAAATGGCAGTACACACCTTACAGAGTCATGAAGATTTAATGAAAAGACTCATGTTTTTAATTGAGGAGTCATGTACTAATACAATCAAATTTGCACATGAGCAACATTTTCCACATATGCGAGATTAGAGCATGGTCCATTCTGCTCAAAGGCCTATAATGTCAAGGTCACCCATCTGCTCTTCTTTTGCAGTTTGATCATTTCATCAGTTGATTACACAGAATTGCTTCCCAAACACTATAGACAATCTTGTGTGCAGACCATGAGCAATGGGTGAATTACTAACAAATGCTGATGTTATAGCTGTTACCAAATTCTGTTACTTCAGGGATATTTAAAATATTTGGAAAGGGTTTGTGTGTTTTTCAAATTTATTATGCAGGTTATTGAAATAACCAGCTTACTATTTGAGCTTCTATAATTGAAGCTCTTATAATTGAAACATTGATAGTTTTTATGTTAATTTTAATATTAACAATTCCTTATGTGAATTTTTGCTGGCAAGCAGAAAAATTGAAACTAATTCTGTTTATTTGGTGAGAGATAGGTGTAAATATCTATATTCAACTTTGGTGATGCAATTGATTATGGGTAAATATGGTTAAATTTTTGGAAATTTCATATTACCTTGAAGTATTGAAGCAATTAAAATAAAACTTGGATACAAACTTAACTTTCTACTTCAGAAATTAGCTAGTGTATTAAAAGTGTAAATTAAACCACTTACTTACCTTGAGTGACATAAACGAGGCAAGCAGCGTTGGCGTTTATATGTGGGAATTAAAGGAAGTTGGTATTTCATCCCCATGTTCTCAAAAAGGAAATTAAGGTACAGAGAGAATATGTCTTGACTGGAATTATTCAGCTAGTTAGATGATTCAGCAAGAATCAGCTACAAGTCTGCCACTGAAAACAAAGTAGGTAATATAAAATAAAAGTGAGTAATATGGCTCACTCAGTTGATTAAGTCTTCTATTTTTGTTTTTTTCCAGAATTTCAAAGTTACAAAAAAATTTTGATACTATCAATTGATACTGCCCATAAACAGTACTTATTAATACTGTAAGATAAATTTCACATTTTGTTTTATTTTTTTTCCAGTGACATCTATCTCTACTAGTTATTTTGATAACAACTAAATCAATATGATAATTCTAAGAGTAAATGAAATATAAGTCCTAAGAATAAATAAATGAATAGTTTAATTAGAGGCAGTAACAGGATGAGAGCCTGAACTTTAGGGTCAAGTAGAACTGAGACGAAATATCTGCAGGCATGTGACATTAGTTATGCTCATTATTTAGCCTCTAGAAATCTCATTTTCCTATCTGTAAAATGGAAATGAATGTGCACAGCTCACAGTTATTGCTGATTAAAAGAGAAAATGAGTGGGAAGTACGTAGTACTAGTTCTGACATGGAATAAACACAGAATCTGGAGAAACTACCTCAGTGACTGTGGGCAAGTCACATAACTGATAATTTCCATCTAATTCTCAATTTCCATCCATGTCAGTAAAATAGGGATAATAGTAGATTATTTCAAGACTCTGTGAGGTGTGTACTACTATGTTCTTTTGTTACTCAAAATCCCACATTTATTGATCTGTTTAAAACTACTAATTGGACTTTGTTCTGACTTAGTTAAAAGTGTTTTGCATTATCTAAGGTACCATTTATTAACAGTGTTTATAAGGTCTCCAAGATGCTTTTAGATACTAAGCATTAGTCATTTCACTGAGTATTAGAGTCAGGAGTTTTCCTGGCTCTACTCACTGAGCAGAGTTCCCTCTGTATCTCTTCAGGAGAGATTGTCCAGCCTATACTCCACACACTTTGGTTTATCAACCAGGACATGTCTGATTGAGGAGGCAGTTGCTCTTGGACAGCTTACTCACTCAGTTCTTTCTTACATCATACTGAGATAAACTTTTCCTGCATTTTGACCTACCAATCTTAGTTCAGCTCATCAAGACCTTAAGAACATGATTTCCTGAGCCATTTAATAGTATTTTAAATATTTAAAGATGAGTTCACATGTTTCTAACATCTCTTCTCCAGGTTAAACAGCCCTTATATCTTCAGCTGTTCTCATATCCCATGGTTTCAAGTCTCATTAGCATTCAGAATGCTCTCCTCTGTGCATTCAATGTCAGTGTTCCATTTAAACTGGTACTTAGACCTGTGTCCAATAATTGTCAGAGTTTGGTCTGATTTGCACCAACTCTTGTGGGACTATTAGGGCCATTTACGCCCCTTATACTATTTTTATCATTAAGTGTAAGATTACATTAGCTGTTTTCAGCAATGTCATCATAATGTTAACTTTCTGAGCTTCCTGTCCATTAGAACTCCCAGGGCTTTTTGACTTGTTTAATAGTCAGTGAAATGACTAATACCATGCATCTACCATTCTTGCCATGCTCATTTTGAGCATTCTTTTCAATGCTCACATATGCTTTACCAATACTAAAAAAAAAATATCTAGATGTGTGTCATTTTTTTATTACCTATTACCTTTGGCTTTGTAGAGCCTTCGGATTTGATAAGTTGGCCATCTTTATCCTAATAGTAGTCCTGATTTAAAATATTGACTAGGATATATGGCAGGGACAGCTCTGTGGTAAAATATCAGATCACTTTTTCATGTGAACATTGTTTAGTGATTTTTGTTTGGAATCTAAACAGTTGACACTTACTACATGCCACCCTACCTATTTTCTTCTACCTTGTTTACAAATATTAATTGCTTTGCTAAAGTTCACATGTGATTTCAGAGGTGAATTAAAGTCTCTTTCTAATCTTTCTAACCTTCATATGTGAGCAAATGATTTGAGCACTCTTCATACTGAGAACAAAAAAAGAGAAAAGAAGCTGACATATTAGGTATTGTAGACAAAGAAAGAAGCGGTACCAACTTGTAGCCTCCCATTTTCTGATCCCTCGTCCCAAAGCAGGTTTCTGCTTGTGCAAGTTTTCTTCCTTTAGTTAGGTGTGCCTGGTATTGGAGGTAATGAAGATTCCTCCTGTACTGGGCCTTAGTCCTCTCAGATGTCCTCATCCTTCATCCATCTCAGCTCGTCTTCCCCAAGCAGGTACATCTGCTTCCTTGTTTCTGAGACCCACTCAGAGGAGTTGAACCTTTCAAAAAGTATTGTCAAGTTAATTTGTCTTGCTTAGGGAAATGCAGTTTAGTAATATTAAAAAAAATTAAGGCCTGATCTCAAATCAGTAATACAAGATTTTATCTTAATTCTTTCTCTCCACATGGTACATTCTGAGTAAGAATACATTCTTTATAATGTTTACCTTATAGTTTCCTAAAGAGCAAACTTCTTTAGGAAATTCCTCATGTAATAGCTAATAACTTCTTTTCTCCTCTGCCAAGGTTAGGTCATTATAAAATAGAACTTATACCCTCTTAACAATTAACCTGTGTTTCATCATGTCTGATTCTCCTATCAGAAAAAAAAAAAATCAAGATTAACTTGGTGTGGCTTGTTTCAGGGAATATATATGGATGCATACAAGCCACCAATCATATTTTTAGGTTATTTAACTACACATTGCTAGCTAATATGTTATTCTTTTCTCTTGTTGGGATTGACATATACTAATTGATAGGTTTTTGGAATCTGTCACCCTGTCACTTTTGAGCACCAGGATTGCATTTACCCATATCCAGTTTACTTCCTCTTCACTGTTCCTTAAGATTATTGATCTCACTGTACCAGGACATATGAATGCTTTTAGAGATGCTTTGCTGCTTTCTTGCATCTCTTAGGTTGAGTTCCCTCTTGTGTCTTTCTTTTTCCAGCATGAAACGTCATGGTTGGTGTAGGTAGATACATTCCTGGACTAGCTCTACCTTCTTTGCAATTCTTTTCAATACAGCATTTTAAAATAGTGTCCGATGCACAGTATGTGCTTAATCAATGTTGAAAGATAGAATTAATCCTCTGCAAGCAGCAGGCTTGTCCCTTCTGTTTTGTTTTGCACATTCTAGAGAGGCTTACTTTACAAAAGGCAGGCTAAAGATTATCCCTTTTGGCATCACCTGGGAACTTGTCATAATGCAGAATCCCAGACCACACTTACTAAATCAGAATCTGCCTTGTAACAGGATCACCAAGCGATTCATGTGTGCTTTGAATTTCGAGAAGCTCTGTTGTTCTAAAGCATGGCAAAACTTTGGAGTGTTTCCTGTTATAACACTTAAACTTCATGTTCCTTTTTTTCTTCATCCTTCGTTATATATTCTGCTTACCATATAGGATAATTCTTTATGTTGTCAATTTCATTTAGCTACTCCCCCATTCTTTATCTGTGGCATTATTCAAGATAACAATGTCAGCATTGTATTTTTGGAAAATCTTTCATTTATTTAAAATTCTCTTTTCAGTATTTTCAGCCATCGGCTCTTATTTCTGAACCTTCTGAAAATCTGTTAAACATACTAAGATACATTTTACGTCATTCCTCTTCCTAGCTCCTCAGAACTTTGATATAGCATTTTCCTCTGAACTCTTCATTTCATTAAGAATTAAGTTCAATGGTCAGAGAGAAGGGAGTTCAAAATTCCTTTACATTCTCTGCTTATTGTATATGAGTCTTCTAGCAGAAATTCAGATGGTTGAAATTCTCTACCTTTCCTTTGGCCTTTATAATCAAATAATGAATATTACAATTAAAGATTAACAGGTCCCATTCTATTTTCTAAGGGAACCTGTTCTTTAGGACTGTCCAATGAATTGTTTCATTATTTAGCTTAACCATATAATTAACTGTACGTATATACACTTGGAGCAGAATAGAAAAAGTGATCTTTCAGATAACTACTTGTACTACTTGCAAAGGAATTTGATTGTATGGCATGGGTCAAGGTTCTACTGCTCACCAGGTGGCAGAATAATGTGGGCACAGTCTCTGGGCAGAAGGAAATGGCAACACAAAGAGTCTGGCTTCATATACTCAAGCTTTACTTTTGTTTCTTTTTTTTCTTTAACAAAAATGAGTAACATCAGAACATCTTGAGTCTCAGATATGTTCATGGCATTTTTGTAGATCTGTGACATAGTTGAAACAAGAAAGGGGTTGGGAAGAGAATTGTGTTGAAGACCTACTATGCCAAAAGCTTCTTAAACTTGTTTTAAAAAGAAAAAAAAGTTCTTTGACATATAGGGAAGCATCTTACTATAGTTGTTGAAAACCAATATTTACATTTGGTTGACCTCATCTTTTTTTTTTAATTATTATATAGTTATACTTACTGGTGGACACCAGAGGTAATAAAACATTTACCGCTGCCTTATGATGAAGGTCGGTACACAGTTTCTTTTTGTTTTATTGTATTTTGGAATTATTCTTGTCTCCCTCTACCCAGAATTATTCTTAAATGAGTTTGAAGCAATAAATCCTTCTTATATTTTATTAAAAAGAAATTATGACTAATTAACATTATCTTGTTTTAATAGGGGACTATAATATCTCTTAGACAGCTTTCTAAAGGGCAGGGATCGTGTTATAATAATTTTAATCGAAATAGGCAAATTCCTTGTATTGTTTCTTGAAATTATTGGTTAAGTCCCTTCGACAGTTTGTGAATATATTAGTTCATCATTATAAACTACTACTGATTATATTTCTAGATATTTTGGGAGAATGTAGAGGAAATGAAGATCCATCCTCAAGAAGAAATAAAAACTTTTCCTATATGTAAGCAGTGAAAAAAGGCATAGATATGTATATAAAAGCATATTTTAATGACTAAAATTTAAATTTTGTTAGAAATGGAGGAAAATATTTACATAAAATACCCAAATGTACATACATCAGAATATTTCCAAATTTAAAATATTGCCCACATTTATATAGAGTCTAGTCTTGATTCTATTAGTGATTCCCTTGCCTTGGGCAAACTAATTTTCCAACTTGTAAAAAGGTACTAAATATGATCTGTTGCCAATCTGGAATACTTGAGTTGAAGCTGCACCGGTCATGGTCAGCCATCCAACTTAGGGTGATTGATGGCCAGGAAGTGAGAAGATTGCAAATGACCTTTAGTTCTTAATAAATTATTAGTTCATTTTAGAAATGAATTTAGTATCTGTGTCTGTGAAATTCTGGGCAGAATCATGGCTTGTATTGCTAAGAAGATTGGGTTATTCTGGAAGAAAGGAAAGAACTTTAATAAACTTCCATTGGCCATTAACAGGATTTGAAATATAAAGGAAAAGTCAGTGAAATCACTTTATAATTTTTATCTAGAATGAAGAAAATTTTTACTTAACAGCAAAGAAAAGAATTTAAAGAGCTGAGTAATTTGATTTCTAAAATAACTCCCTGCTCCCTCCCCAACTTCCAGAGGCCTTCTGCCTCCTTAGAGCTTGTCATACTCAGCTTTGTGTTGTGTATCTCTTGCACATATATCTCATCTCTTCTGAGTGTGTAAGTGCCAGGGCATGGAGGTGGATTTGTTCAGCACTGTCTATAAATACAGTTGATATTATATAAATGGTTGCTAGATATAAAGACTTTTAGAATAACTAGCCATGTCATTCTTAGTTATTTGTGCTGCAAACTTAAAGAAGTTGATGGTGAAGAAATTTCACAAATATGAAGAAGAGATTGACATCCACAATGAATTCTTTCGACCATACGAATTGAGTAGTTTTGATGATACCTTTTGCTTGGCTATGACAAGTTCAGCACGGTATGTTATGAGTACTCTAATACTCTAAGTATTTGGAACTTACAGTTTTTGTAGTATATGTAGTTATGTCTTACTTTACTTGAAATTGTTCTGCACACTTCCTCTTAGATCATTCACTCTCTTTTTCTTTTTAGCTCAACAAAGGGTGAATGGCATTATGTGTATGTGTATCTATAGATACAGTGGATTTTCTTTATTTGCAGGAAATTTATTATAAAGTGTACTGCCCACCAATATTGAATTAGAAAATGCTAACCATTGCTCCAGCAAACCTCTGGTCACAGTATTTTTGAGAACCAATCAATAGATAACCTTGGATGTTTCTGTTTAGAAATCTCTTATATAATACATATTTTTCATTCATTGACATTGAACTCACAACCCACACACCATTCTAAATCATGCTTGAATGAAGCTTCTCTATAACACACAGCTTTCTTATGTTTAGAATCACTGGACAGCTTCAGCACTATGCTTGAAGGATGTTTTAAATGGGAGATTACCAACAAAAAATCATAAAAATGTGAAAAATGGCAGTGAATAAACTGTAAGAAAGGATACTTGCTAGCAGTATGAGAGCTAAAACAAGATGGTGGAGGGTCATCTTGTTCTACCTCCGCTGGGAAAATGTGCTTCAAATTAGTCTAATTTTTCACCACCTTGCAACATGTACATGTTTGCAATTGATGGGAAATTCTGAGTGTTGGTTTTGGGGTTGCAAATACATTTTAGTGAATAAACAAATTCCACAGATTCAGAGTCTGCAAATAATGAGTACTGACTCTATATGGTCAAAAAGGACTAAAAATAAAACTACTTACATTTTAAAAGCAACATTTTGAAACTATTAAATAGACATTTTGAGTTTGAGTGAGTATTATTTTCTTTTCCTTGAAAAAACATAATATTGAGTCTCATTTGTAACAGTATCCTTGCCAGATGTTATATATCTTATCAGGATAAATAATGCAACTATTGTCTTTTTCACATCTATTAAGGAGTTTGGTCTGACTTCAGCAGTAATAGTAAATATAAAGTAGCTTCAGTTTATTTCAATAAGTAGTAAATTAAAAGTTTCTATATAAAGTGTTCTAACACTGTTTTAATAAATTAACCCCAATCTAATGAGGTAGATTTGATACTTCAATTTGTGCCACTATGTCTGTGAGCATTTTATCAGTCTCCTTAGTGGTATAGTTTAACAAATACATTGTCCATAAAACTGAGTGGCTTAATGTTTTGGCATTAGTTTTTATGAGTTTACTTTTACCTGATAACTAATTTTGACATGTAACCAAATGTAATTAAGTAGTAATTCAAAATGAACTCTGTTTCAGTAAATAAAATCTCATATGCAAAACTGTTGGGCTTAATAATCACAGAGAAAATTCAGTAACAAGTTGTTAACAATGAGGTTACCTAGTGCTAACAGTTCATGGGTTTTTATGGCCCTGACTACTTGAGTGCCCCCATTTATTTTAGACTTTATGTAGTTCTGAGGGCTCTGAAAGGACAGTATAAGAATGTGAATTGAGATGGGAGCCAATTTTATATGGATGGAGAGTGATTCACATGGAATTTTTCCCACTTTCTTCAGTGACTTCATGCCCAAGACAGTTGGCATTGACCCAAGTCCATTCACTGTGCGTAAACCAGATGAAACTGGAAAATCAGTATTGGGGTAAGATTTGCATTTAGAATGAAATTTTAAAGATTCATGTAAAATAATATTGCACTTGGAATGTAATTACACAAAAAAATAATAACTACAAGTCACATAGTCTGGGGCGCAGTCCATTTGTTGCATCTGTAGATAGTTTATTTACAGTGCTGGGATCACCAAAATATTCAACTTAAAAGTAGAATTTATGGGAATCTGAGCAGCATGGTGCATTTTATTATGAGTTAGGAATATCACAGATGGCATAAAGGCAGGTAACAGATATCATGTGTTATATCCTGTAATAACTCATCATGCTCTGTTTCCCACAACATAAACTACTCAGGTAAAAATTTATGTTCATTGTATTTATTTTGTTGGCATCTGAGGATACATTAAAGTATATATGCTCAGATAGAGACTTTAATAGATTTTCCATGTATTACTGTAGCATTGTTTTGGGAAAGACTGTTATTTTATTATCCTTAGTAATATGAGGAAGAAGCCAAACCATATTTACATGTCATGCTTACAGACTGGAGTGAAATGTTTTGTGCTCTAGTATAAGAATATCTGTTACTACCACTGACTCAAATAAGCCCTGCAATAGGATTTCTTCTAGACCCTCACCAGAAATGATAGCCAGATTGTTGATACTGAGTCCTAATTGTACCTGGGAGTAACTATAGGGTCCCAATTGGAGTCTAGGTACTTGTGACTTATTCAATGGGATATATATTACTGTTTGTCAGATACACCATTTCTATGACTTAAATATGTGACCTTACACAGCTGCATGTTAGATAATCCTGAATCAAATGCTAAGAGGATGTGACCTTATACAGATGCATGTTAGATAGTCTTAGATCAGATGCTAAGAGGAATTTAGGAGATGTCCTCAGGGATTGAGAATCCAAGAAGTTCTTGTGACAAATATGTTAGTGATGAACTTTATTAGTGTGTAGCACAGAAATATGATACAGTTTAATTTTTAATTGCTCAAAGTCGAACTGATTTCTATAAGATCACAGACAGTATTGCATTTTCTTTCCTTAGGACAGAGTATTATGATATTTTTAGTCCCTCCTTATAATTTTTTAAAATAAGAGTAAAAATATTAAACATTTTTTACAAAAGTAAAAAATATTACTATAAAATCTTTTCTGAGTTAAAAAAGATTCTTATTCCTTTCAGATTTGGTACTAAAATAAAAGTACTTCTTCCCCCCCATATATTAATTTACAATAATTTTGTAATTTATAATAAATTTTGAAATTTACTTTTAAATTCATTAGTTGCTCATTACTTTGGCACAAATAATAAGGGGTTACTGTGATTGATAAAAATTCATAAGAGAGAAGGAAATATACATAAATCTGATACCTATTTTGTGTACCTTCTGCAAGTTATATGTAATTTTACTGAAATCTCAGACTTAGTTTTCTTTTATTACACCATAAATTTTGAAAAACTGACTTCAGTTATTAAAAGAAGACATAGTAACCAAGTGGTATGTAGTCTTTTCTGCATTCTATATGCATGTGGTGGTTTATTTTTCTGAATTTATAATAGGACTTAAATTCATATAAGAGCAATACATGTATATGGTAAAATGGTTTTATATTTAGCACAACTTGAATCCCCAAGACTGGCTTCTCATAGTCTTTTTCTTATGCTTCACTCTGACTAAGGCTGTGGGACAGTGAATATTTAACATGCACATCCATCTTTTTAAAGAAACAAAAGCAATAGAGAAGAAGCTGTATTACAGCGGAAAACGGCCGCGAGTGCCCCTCCACCCCCCAGCGAGGAAGCTGTGTCCAGCAGCTCTGAGGACGACTCTGGGACAGACCGGGAAGAGGAGGGCTCTGTGTCTCAGCGCTCCACTCCAGTGAAGATGACCGATACGGGAGACAGCGCCAAAGTGACTGAGGTGGGGGGAGTAGAACTTGTAGTGTCCAGCGTGAGGCTCTAAGAAATGAGCACTAACATTCAGCTTTGGCCACTCATCTCACTCACGTTAGCTGATATGTGGTGAGCAGGACACTGCTGAGATGAATACTAGCAAAGACATTCTCGAAAATGCCTTGGAGTTTTGAGTTTCATAAGTCGGGGTTTTTGTTCTCATATATAATAGTGAATTTCTTATTCAGAATTTTAAAAGAGAGTTCTGTGCGCCTTCCAGCAGCCCATTCACTGAGGGCAGTTATTCCCTGGCTTGGCACATTGTTGGAATGTGGCATTTGGCCCCGGGCCTTTCAATCTTTGCATAGTCACAGTGGGAAATGCCTTCTGTATAATTTGACTTTACTTGTGGGAAAGCTAAAGGGAAGTCAACAAGAAAAGAACCAAGTCTAATATATATTAGTGAATTACTAATGAAGTGAATTACTATTCCAGGAATTGGCAACTACAGGTGCCTGGCCAACTGTGGTCCACTCTGTTTTTGTAAATAAACTTTTATCAGAACCCACCCATGACTATTTATTTACTGCCTTTGCACTCTAACAGCAGAATTGAGTAGCTGCAGCAGAGCTCGTGTGACCCAAGGAATCTAAATTATTTGCTATCTGGCCTTTTAAGAAAAGGTTGCCCACCCCTGTTTTACACAAAAGTTATTAGTAATTATTCAATAGTTCTTTTTACCCTAAAATAGCTATTTTAGATGTTTAAAAACCATTAAGTGGCAAATATAATGAACAAGTTGAAGAAATATTTGAAATATTTATTGCTTTTGTAGAAAAATGCTCAGATTCATTTTCTTCACCATTGGAAATTACTAATTTGCTAAATGTCTAAATATTCTTCCTAGTTGTTCTCTCTCTCTTTTTTTAATCCCAGAGCATGGTCCAGCCCATGAAAGAGGTATATGGAATTAACCTCTCAGACGGCCTCTCAGAAGAAGATCTCTCCATTTACTCAAGGTAAAATACCTTAAAAAAATGAAATTACAGGGCCTCCCCAGTGGCACAGCGGTTGAGTGCTGGGTTGCGAAGCTGCCTGCAGTCTCTGCAGTGCTGGTTCAATCCCCGGCCACCGGGCGAGGGTCCCACATGGCGCGCAGACCTCTCCTGCCGCCAGCTGCTCCACTCAGCAGTGTATTTCGTCAGTCTGACTGCTATGCTCTCCCCTCTGGCTCTGGTGAATTCTCTCACCCTCTGGCGCTTCTGACTGTACCCAGTGCTTGTATAAATAAATAAATCTTTAAAAAAAAAATGAAATTACATCTTACAATAACTTGTAACTCTTTAAAAGCAAAGATGGTAATACAGGAGGAAATGAATTCTACTTGGAATACAACAGTAATGTTTAGGAGGTCAAATGCTGCAACATTAATTTTTCTTTGAAGTTAAATTGCTCACAACTCTCAGTGATAAAAATTTGATATGTAGATGTTATTTCACTGCCCATATATATAAGCTACAATCTGAAGTAAAACATTTCTACATTTCTGCATTAACAAATTCTCAAGATCAGGTATATTCTTACAAAATAAACCTGGAGTCTTGACAATTAGAGACCTTGCATTCACGTTAGCTCAGGGGCAAGAAGAAGCAGTGATGGAAGGGCACCAATTCAGAATATTCTGGACCTATCTGAGAAGAAGGGACCCACCAGAAGGCATTACCTAAAATCATATACATAATTTTGTGAATGTTGTGTATACGTGTATTTTTCTGAGAAGATTCATAATTATTAGATTCTCCAAAGAATCTCAGGATACCACTGTAAACACACCCTCAACTGAATACACATATTGAGAAGACTTAAATATTGCAAGTGAGCACAGTCCCACTTCATTCATATAAATTTGGCTTACGTAAACTCTGTAATATAAATAAGCATGAATCTTCAGTTTGTTTTCAAGAAGGGCATTTTGTTTGCAGAATTCACTGAAGTGGATATTGTCATCTTTTTACTTCAAACTAGTGAAAGCTGCTATATAATATATAAATTATAATGTAAAATTGCACAACATTTCTTGATCACAAAAGCACAGCTATGACTATACTTTATGTCTTCCAGAAGGCAATATAGTCTCAAAGAACTCATCCACACTTTCCCCTTTGCTGGACACATGGTCACCCAGTTATTTATTCAGCATGGCTGTCATTCTCTATAGTTAAGCTCTTTGGTCAAGCAATGTGATCTGAAAGGAATTATCTGGCCTTAGTGTCCGGATAATATGACTTGACTTATTGCAGAGAGTAAGTGTATACATATCAAGGACTGAAATTTTGACTCAATTAAGCAGACAAGAAGTGTCCCTGGCTTTAGGTCATCCATTCACCTGGAGCTTTATTAGATCAGAAGGTCTCTGAGGCCCACATTCAGTTCTCTTCCCTGGAAGTGAGATACAGCCCTGTTCAGCCGCAGTATTTCTGGGAAACAGTCTAAGAAGGTTGTAAGGACAGGCCTGGAGGGAAGGGATACTGCAGGGGAGGATGAACTCTGTGTTCTGGAATGAGGTTCTATGTCTGATATTCTGGAGAACGCCTCCTCCATTGATTTGTATAATAGTTGAATGTTTTATTTGTTCTTTAAACAACTATGTGGTACACTGAAAGGATATCCCTCTTTGTAGGTTTAGAGCACAAAACGACAAACTGTTCAGTGACTTATCCTGGAGACCCACATTATATTTCTCCAGCATCTTGTGATTGTAGACTGTGCACTCCTCTTTATTCTCTTGGTAATATCAGCTGCTTCTGCTGATATTTGCTTCTGCAAATCTGGGGAGAAACCTGGGGCCTGACCATCTCTTCCCCTCTCTCTGATTGGCCCCTATTGGGCTTCCCTCACCCCATGTGCCTTCTCCCTGCATCTCCCCTCTCGGTCATAGGCACTGCTGTAATCAGAGAAAACTTCTTTCTACCAGTGTCTGGAGGTAGCTATGCCAGGGGGTGGCCAAGGTGTGTTCAGGGGCTGACTGGCACCCCCTCTTGTCCCAGTTGTGCCCTTGGGCTATCTTCATAGTGCCTCCTGTGATCCAGAGGGAGGAGCTTTAGAGCAGGGGAAAAGCCCATGTCGGGCAATCCTGACTTGGTAAGTTCCGCTTCCCACTGTAGTTTGGCATTTAGTCATGGGCTAAAGTTCATGTATGTGATGACCATGCCCTGACCTGACTTGCAGCTTGAGGCTGCCCCCGGGCTGGCATGGAACCATGAGGGAGGGAAGCAGTGCTCCTAGAACTGCCTTCTACATCTTGTCTTTCAGCTCCCTGTCCTCTGCCTCATCTTCCTACATTAGGCATCAACCACCTTCAGCCCCCTGAGGATTTCTGAGTTTTGTGGTTTTATTCTAATTGCCCAGTCTTATTTACTGTGTTTTCCACAGCCCTCATCTTTTGTGGCATCTTTGGTTTGCTATATTGATTAAATCTGGAAGCTTTCTGTTTATTTCCTTAGAACCTATACCCCTGACAAATATTTTTTTAATTTTTCATTATTTATTTATGCATACAAGAGCTGGGGTGTAGGTCAGAGGTGCAGGGGGTGAGAGGATTCACCAGAGAAAGAGTGGGGAGCAGAACAGACAAATCTACTGAAATACACTGCTGAGGGGAGCAACGGGCAAGACAGGAAAGGTCTGCTGCGCCATGTGGGTTAGCTCCCTGGCCGGGGATCGAACTACTGCTACAGTACCTGCTAATAGCTTCATAGTGCTGAGACCTTGTACCACTAGTGAGGCTCGACAGTTTTTTTTTTAATTCCGACAATTTAAATTTCTGTTTTGAAATTTAAATTTTCCGTACAGATATTAGGTGACATCCTTCCTCAAAACATGGATCAAAATGTTCCCTTCTGAAAATAGAAGTTGGGTAAAATAAGCTACTTAAACATTGTTCAGGACCACTTTCATGATTTAATGATTGGTAGTTTCTGCAGCACTTTTCTTGACCTTTAAACAGTAATGAAAAATAGATTATTAAAATATCCAGTAACGAAAAGAAAATATTTTAAATAGTAGAAAAGTGGAAGGTGAATCAGCCCTTTGGTCTTGCCCTGTAACGTCCTAGGGACACAGTAGAACAACGCTACAAACTGTGTCACTGAAGGAAAGATGGATGCCTGTAGCATGGGACACACTTCAGACTGGGCATTGGAGAGAAGGCAGAAGCCCATGGCTCCATGTCCTTTTACCCTGCTGAGCTGGCCTGAGCATTCTCTTTGGCTCTTAGCTGTAAGCCTGAACTAGTATGGGACTAGTTAGGCCTGAACTTGGGAGGAGTAGTGTCCAGTAGTGCTCTGTAGGTGGGCTCTTCAGGCCCCTCTCTCTCCTTGAAAACACTCCTCTTAGGAGTAGCAGGAGTACACCAGGGGATTCTTGTGGCCCAAAGGAAACTGAGCCCATTCCTTTGTTCTCAGCAGCTTCCCTGCTTCAGGGGCTGGATCTCAGCCTGATCCTCCCCTTCCATTGCATTTGTTTCACAGCAATCACCTCCCCTACTGTTTCTCCTTGTCTCCTGCTGCAGTCACCCTTAGGTTTGTGAGGGCCTGAAAATCATTCCTTTGGCTTCAGGAGCATTTTGGTTCAAGTTCTATATCATGGTGAAGTAAATAGAAATGTAATGGGGTATACATTTCATTTCATTCTTACATTATTGGTAATGACTTATATTTTAAACAGAATCCCTCCTCTCCTACATTTCATTAAGCCACTGCAACCCTTTATAAGTCTTGTGTTAAATTGCCTTGTGTGCTTTTCTAAAATAGGTATGCCCACCTTTGAAAGCTCATGCCATTTTGAGTGATCTACTGAATTTATTTCAGTACCTTCTTTTGCTTACTTTTTATCCAATGTAATTTATAGATTTGTTCAGCTGGGGCAGAGTCAACATAGACAAGACAAGAGCAGCCAGCAGTTCTGTTCCAGGTGCCCAGATGGAGTTATAAAACTGTAAGTAGTACGTTAGACCTTCAAAAAAAATCTTTGCTCGGCATTTTTGCACAGAGAGGGATGACAAAAGAGCTCGGATTCTTGAGACAGGCTGTTCAAATTCAAAGCAAAAACATGGCAGGATGGGGATGGGTTTGTCTCTTCTAATTATATATCCCTGTTAGTTCCTATAACTTGCTGAAAGTTAAACAACTTTTCTTCGACCTTACATAACATAACTGGGTTCATATCCTGAGTCACAGCTCTACTGCTGCTTGGCTTTTCACTTTGAACAAGTAACTTAAAGTCCTGTAACTCAGTTTCCTCATCTGCAAAGTGGGATAATAATAGCACCTATTTCAGAGACTTAAATGAAATGATACATTCAGAGTGCTTAGAACAGTGTCTGGAATAAGTTGTGATAATCACCATCATCATCATCATCTTCATATTTATCATTCTCTGCTTGTTGGGACCAAGCAAAGCAAAGGTTATGATCATGAGAGGCTCCCTTATTCCATATACTTAAGTTAAGTCTTTTCTAGAAAATGGGACACTGTGATGATTAACTGACGTGGGATAGGCAAGGCACCTTGATCAGTGATTGGTCGGCTTTATCAGTCTGTTCAATGAATTATTTGATAAATGCTGATTGCCTAATTTCTCTGTGTAACACATATGCATGCTCCTGATTGATAGTTAAGTGACTATTATTACAGTACCTTAGACAGTAGAGGCTAGGAGAACTTTGCAAATGGGATGGATTAGAGGAATATTTAGGAGGAGAAATGGACAAGACTTGGATACTGATTCATCATGGTGGGAGACGAAGATCTTACCAAGGATGACCCTTAGGTTTTTGGCATTTGTGCAAGAGGTTTGATGAATTTATCAATTCATTTAGTAGATATTAACACTGATTTTAGGAGCATTCAGAGTGGCCATTACTGAAGTAGGGAGCATAAGTACAGGTAAGGAGGACCCACTTGGCCTGTAAATTAGCATCCAAGTACAGGTGTTTAGGACGCAGTTGGATGAAGTGATCTGGAACTCAGAAGATCGCTTTCTCGGAGGGGAGGGGGCAGATGTAAGTGCATATGGGAGATATTTAAAGCTCCTAGCTAAGGAGGAAACTACCTAGGAAAAGAGAGTCCAGTCAGAACAGGTCTACAGCTGAGGCTTGAGGGGATCTGGTGGGTCTAATGTAAGACAGAGAGAAAAACCTGCAAGAGAGATAGATGGCTAATCAGAGATGAGAAGGCAAACTGAGACATTATTTTATCACAGCCTCCAAAAGGGCTAATCATCCCTTCTTTCTCTCCCCATCACAATTTTTTTCCTTTTTAAAGACATATAAATTCCTATTAATTTAGAGGCACATTTCTTTCTCATGCCTAATTACATGTGGAAGTGTGCTCTCCCAAATGAACTGAAATAGATGTAGCCAGAGGGAAAGTGTTAATTAAAAAGAGACTGTTACCAAATAATATTTTGTAAAATTTGTAAAAATTTGTAAAATTGACGAGTCTACTAAAATAGTATGGCACAAGAAGGAGGAGAAGATGATGAAATGAATATATGATACAAAATAAAAGTGTATTCCCATGTTGTCTTCAACATTGTGTCTACTTTGACCTATAATTGGTCTTGCAGTTATTTTCAAATTGTTTTTCTTATAATATTTAGTATTTGCTTTTCTGAGTCCTAGCACAAATGAAAGCTTTGTGGATCTAGAATTTTTTTTAACCTCTTACTCTTAATTAGTAAAGAATCTAACATGCGTATGTTTTGGCACAGCCTCTTAAAGCCTTATAACAAAGAACTCCGGTAGCTTCTGCATTATGTTGTCATGGCAACTGACCAAGAATGGTGGTGTGTGTATGTGTGTGTATGTGTGTGTGTGTGTGTGTGCGCGCGCGCACATGCACATGGTTGCTTTAAATTGAAACTAGGTTATTAAAATGTCATCTATTCACTTTTAGATTTCTAAAAGCTATGCTAAAATTCAGAGAAATTAATTTTATGTGAGATTTTTGAAATTCTCATCTTATGTTTTATGCTCTAGGATATTTTAAAATGGTAATTAGTTTATCTTATCTTTGCATGCATATGTATCTACTCATCTCTGGATAATTTATAATCTTACCATTTTTTTTTTCTGAAAGTAAGAGGCAAATCAAGATCCCATATCTAAAAATGAGATTTTTACATTTGGTACAGTTATATATATATATAACTGTACCAAATGTAAAAATACTGACAGTAAATTACTGGATGGGGGAGCTAGAAACTTTCACTTAAGGCTTGCAGGACATTTCTTAGAATTCAATGATAAACTCTAAACTGGTCAGTGTCTACGCTGTCAGCCCAAACACTTAAAGCTGTATTTTGTTTGGATGTGACCCCTCTCGTTGACTCACACCTCTCTAAGTGTATGAATGATGATTAAAGGGAAATGACATCAAATAACTTTACTGCACACTCACTCAGTGTGTGGTGGGGACTTTGTTCCACATACCTTAACCTGTGTGAAGTCAATTCTCACACTAACCTATGAAGTAGGTCTTACTGTCATCTGTATTTTACAAATGGGGAAACTGAAGAAGTTATGAAAGTTGTTCCAGGTCAAACAGCTATCAAGTGGAGGAATGAGGGTTTGAACATGGGTAGTCTGGTTTTCCATCACTAGGCTGTAAATGGCTAGTATTACCAACTGCTTTTATGACCACAGTGGAAGAAATACTGTGTTTATTAGTGTGAAGTCCTCAGTTTGGTCCTCTGACAGCATCTGGACTTATGGACACCTCCATATACAGATAGAATATTTCTGTTTACTGATCTTGAATTTTTAAAAATGCAAACAGGCTTCTGAATGGGCAAGTGTACTTTCCTTGACTCCTAACCTGGTCTGGAGGTTGTTTGGCCATCATCAGAACAGTGCTACTGCCACTTAGGGTTGTTGCTATCCTACTGGGTTATGTTTCTAAAGGGCAGCCCATCTGGGTGTCCTGTGCTACCATCATAATGGTAGTACCTTAATTTCTCAATAAATATTTGTTGAAATGTACTGAATTACTCTCCCAACCCTGCCCTGTCCCTCATGTTACTATCAGAGTCTGTATGAAGCCCCCTGAGTTTCCCTAGAAACTCATCTCAACCAGTGACTACCTGGTTTTCAGCTCCCTCCTGGTGGCTCCTTTTTCCCTATCTGTGAACTTCCTAGTTTTCTCCTATTCACTGATAAAAGAAAAGTTTGTAGCTTTTTTTCAAATCTGTCCTCCTTTCACTTCCACCTGTGACCAAGTGCAGAATGAGCAGAACCTGAGTGGCAGGACTTGCTGTGCTGGAGAGGCAGAGTGCTGTGGGCCCGGTGGTGATTCACTGTGTGCACCAAGACCAGCCCGTTCTCATTTTACACTCTTACCAGTTCTCTGGGAATTCTTTACTGAGCAACAAATGTTAATCAGTCCAGGTTAAAAAACACAAACATTCATATTATTGTGTCTGTAATTCCATGGTCTCTTATTCCAGGAATATGTCTCACTTATTTAAAACTTACTTCTAAGAAATGGCAAAATATAATTCCATAGAATTTGGAGAAATACTGTCTAACTTAGAATTCTTCCAACATAGGATAAACTAAAATGTAATATAAGGTAAGTAAGTGTGTTTACTATATTAGGATAACAAGGTTGAATTTATCCTTAAGTACATATCAAAATAAGTAGCATTTATTGACCTTAGAGTGAATGTCCCCGGGCATGGCTAGTACTAAGGACAGCATTTCCAAAATCAGGGCGTGCTCTTACACAGTCAAAATTAGAGCATGTTTCCAGCCAACAGGATGAGCATGACACCTTGGCCATGATTAACTCAACTTTGTTTACCGTACATAATTTCATGTTTACTGTACATAATAACATGTTCCCTCCATACAAGTCATTCTCTAAGGTTCTCCCTGCATCTCTTACAGATTTTGTCTAGTTCTCTGTAGATAGTGCTCTGGTCTCTTGTGCTGCGGTCTAAAGAAGTATTTCTTCCTTGATAGGTAATTCTTGTTATCATTCTCAAACACCCTAGTGTAGTCTTTAAAAGTTTAAGGATTAGAGCTTAGAGTGGGTGCAGGCAGTGATCAATGATTAATCAGCTAATTCCCTCTACAGGACAGAGATGATTGGTGACAACTCTTCAGCTGAAGGAAACTAGTCCATGACCTCTTCCTTCACCCCAGAAATTGCTGCTAGTCTCTCTAGCACTGATTTTGTATGTCTAACTTTTCTAATTGTCTCGTTCTCCTTCCCCCTTACCCTTCATTTCGCTTACGTTTACCATTCTTTCTTTCCTTCTTTCTCCCAGGCCATCCTGTCTCAATCCTGGATTCCAGGGTATTGTTAACTTTTTTTTTTTAACACGAGTTTCCTGCATACATTCTTGGGCATGCATTTTAAACTAATTCTTCACTCATGTGTGGGTTGTAAACTTAATTTAGTAGGCTGCTACACAATGAAATGAAATGAAACTGAATTGAATACTATAGAAAGTTCCAGTGCTTCGCAAATAGTATGGTTAAGTTTTGTTACATGAACTTTTGATTTTTTTTTTAAAGATTTATTTATTTATGCATGCAAGAGGCTGGGGTACAGGCCAGAGATACAGGAGAGGGGGGTAAAAGGATTCACCAGAGACAGAGTGGGGAGCAGAACAGGCAGACTGACTGAAACACATTGCTGAGGGGAGCAGCAGGCGGGAGAGACAGGAGAGGTCTGCCTCGCCATGTGGGTTGCTCCCTGGCTGGCCGGGGATTAAACTCGTGCTGCAGAAGCTGCGCATTGCCTCACAGTGTGGTACTTAACCCCTGTGTCACTAGGGAGGCCCCCTGAACTTTTGATTTTATGCATAAATGTAGCATGTGTGTACCAGTGTGCCTTACAAAGCCCATATCTTACTGTGGGTAACAGTCACAGGTTGGATTTATATGAATGCACCTTTTCTGGCACCACATAAATTAAAAAACACAGCAT